ATAAACGCTCCACGTGATCAACGGGTCTAACGTCTATAAACGCTCACTTGATCAACGGCATCTAACGGCTATAATGCTCACCATGATCAACGGGTCAACAAATCTATAAACGCTCACTGATCAATTTGGTCGTACGTCTATAAAACGCTCACTGATCAACTGGGTCTACTAACTTCTATAAATGCTCACTGAATCAATGTGTCTTAACGTCGATAAACCGCTCACTGATCAACGGGTCTAGCTTCTATAAACCCCGCTTCACTGATCAATGTGTCTTACGTCTATAAACCCTCACGGATCAAATGGATCTAACGCCTATAAAAACGCTCACTGATCAACGAGTCTAAAACGTCTAATAAGCGCGTCACTGATCAAGGATCTAAACGTCTATAAGCGCTCACTGATCCACCGGATCTAACTTCTATAAATGCTCACTGATAAACGGAAATCTACCGTCTATAAACGCTCACTGATCAACGGGTCTAACGTCTATAAACGCTCACTTGATCAACGGATCTAACGTCCTATAAACGCTCACTGATCAAACGGGATCTAACGTCTATAAACGCTCACTGATCAACGGGTCTAACTTCTAATAAACGCTCACTGATCAACGGATCTAACGTCTAAAATGGCTCACTGGAGCACGGGTCCTAACTACTCATAAAGCTCACTGGATCAACGGTCTAAACGTTGATAACGCTCACGTCTATAAACGTCTAACATACGCAGATCTAAGCTAACGTCTTAAATCACTGATCAACGTCTAAAACGTCCTATAAAGTCACTTATCACTGATCAACGACTACTTTAAAGCTCCTGATCAACGGATCTAAGTCTATAACGCTCACTGATCAACGGTCTATTATAAACGCTCTATCAACGATTCCTCTATAAACGTCACTGACAACGGTCTAACCTATAAACGCTCACGATCAACGGTCTAACGTCTAAACGCTCACTGATCAATCGATCAACGTCAAACCGGTCAACTCTATAACCGTGATCTAACTCTATAAACGCTCACTGATCAACGGATCTAACGTCTATAAACGTCATCAACGGTCTAACTCTATAACGCTCACTGATCAATGGTCTAACGTCTATAAACGCTCTGATCAAGGGTCTAACTTCTATAAACGCTCACTGACAATGGTCTACCCTATAATGGCTCCTATCAACGGTCTACCTATACACGCTCACTGATCAATGTGTCTTACGTCTATAAACGCCTCACTGGATCAATCGGGTCTAACTTCTATAAAGTGCTCACTGATCATGTGTCTACGTCCGTCTATAAACTCGTCACTGAGGCAACGGGTATAGCTTCTATAAACGCTCACGGATCAATGTGTCTTACGTCTATAAACCCTCACTGATCAACGGATCTAACGCCTATAAACGCTCACTGATCAACGGATCTAACGTCTATAAGCGCTCACTGATCAACGGATCTAACGTCTATAAGCGCTCACTGATCAACGGATCTAACGTCTATAAATGCTCACTGATAAACGGATCTAACGTCTATAAACGCTCACTGATCAACGGGTCTAACGTCTATAAACGCTCACTGATCAACGGATCTAACGTCTATAAACGCTCACTGATCAACGGATCTAACGTCTATAAACGCTCACTGATCAACGGGTCTAACTTCTATAAACGCTCACTGATCAACGGATCTAACGTCTATAAATGCTCACTGATCAACGGGTCTAACTTCTATAAACGCTCACTGATCAATGTGTCTTATGTCTATAAACGCTCATTGATCAACGGGTCTAACATCTATAAACGCTCACTGATCAATGTGTCTTACGTCTATAAACGCTCACTGATCAACGGATCTAACGCCTATAAACGCTCACTGATCAATGTGTCTAACGTCTATAAACGCTCACTGATCAACGGGTCTAACTTCTATAAACGCTCACTGATCAATCGGTCTAACGTCTATAAACGCTCACTGATCAACGGATCTAACATCTATAAACGCTCACTGATCAACGGGTCTAACGTCTATAAACGCTCACTGATCAATGGGTCTAACGTTTATAAACGCTCACTGATCAACGGGTCTAACATCTAAACGCTCACTGATCAATGGGTCTAACGTCTATAAATGCTCACTGATCAATGGATCTAACGTCTATAAACGCTCACTGATCAACGGGTCTAACTTCTATAAACGCTCACTGATCAATGTGTCTTACGTCTATAAACGCTCACTGATCAACGGGTCTAACTTCAATAAACGCTCACTGATCAATGTGTCTTATGTCTATAAACGCTCATTGATCAACGGGTCTAACATCTATAAACGCTCACTGATCAATGTGTCTTACGTCTATAAATGCTCACTGATCAACGGATCTAACGCCTATAAACGCTCACTGATCAATGTGTCTAACGTCTATAAACGCTCACTGATCAACGGGTCTAACTTCTATAAACGCTCACTGATCAATCGGTCTAACGTCTATAAACGCTTACTGATCAACGGATCTAACGTCTATAAACGCTCACTGATCAACGGGTCTAACGTCTATAAACGCTCACTGATCAATGGGTCTAACGTTTATAAACGCTCACTGATCAACGGGTCTAACATCTAAACGCTCACTGATCAATGGGTCTAACGTCTATAAATGCTCACTGATCAATGGATCTAACGTCTATAAACGCTCACTGATCAACGGGTCTAACTTCTATAAACGCTCACTGATCAACGGATCTAATGTCTATAAACGCTCACTGATCAATGGGTCTAACGTCTATAAACGCTCACTGATCAACGGATCTAACGTCTATAAACGCTCACTGATCAATGTGTCTTACGTCTATAAACGCTCACTGATCAACGGGTCTAACGTTTATAAACGCTCACTGATCAACGTGTCTAACATTTATAAACACTCAGAAATGTAGGACTCTGAAGTACACTGAACAAAAATATATAAACGCAACATGCACCATTTCTAAGATTTTACTGAGTTACAGTTCATATAAGGAAATCAGTCAATTGAAATAAATTCCTTAGGCCCTTATCTATGGATTTCACATGACTGGGAATACAGATATTCATCGGTTAGTCACATATACCTTAAAAAAAAGGTTGGCCCGTGGATTAGAAAGCCAGTCAGTATCTGGTGTGATGACAATTTGCCTCATGCAGCGCAACACATCTCCTTCGCATAGAGTTGCTGGATATTGGGGGGAACTGAAACACGCTGTCATACACATAGATCCAGAGCATCCCAAACATGCTCAATGGGTGACATGTCTGGTGAATATGCAGGCCATGGAAGAACTGGGACATTTTCAGCTTCCAGGAACTGTTTACAGATCCTTGTGACGTGGGGCCGTGCATTATCATGCTGAAACATGAGGTGATGGTGGCAGATTAATGGAACGACAATGGGCCTGAAGATCTCGTCGCGGTATCTCTGTGCATTGAAATTGCCATCGATAAAATGCAATTGTGTTCGTTCTCCATAGCTTATGCCTGCCCATACCATAACCCCACCGCCACCATCGGGCACTCTGTTCACAACGTTGACATCAGCAAATCGCTCGCCCACACGACGCCCGGTACAGTTGAAATTGGGATTCATCCGTGAAGAGCACCCTTCTCCAGCGTGCCAGTGGACATTGAAGGTCAGCATTTGCCAACTGAAGTCGGTTACAACGCCTAACTGCAGTCAGGTCAAGACCCTGGTGAGGACAACGAGCACACAGATGAGCTTCCCTGAGACGGTTTCTGACAGTTTGAGCAGAAATTCCTCAGTTGTGCAAACCCACAGTTTCATCAGCTGTCTGAGTGGCTCGTCTCAGACAATCCCGCAGGTGAAGAAGCTGGATGTGGAGGTCCTGGGCTGGCATGGTTACACGTGGTCTGCGGTTGTAAGGCCGGTTGGACATACTGCCAAATTCTCTAAAATGACGTTGGAGGCGGCTTATGGTAGAGAAATTAACATTCAATTCTCTGGCAACAGCTCTGGTAGACATTCCTGCAGTCAGCATGCCAATTGCACGCTCCCTCAAAACTTGAGACATCTGTGGCATTGTGTTGTGTGACGAAACTGCACATTTTAGAGTGGCCTTTTATTGTCCCCAGCACAAGGTTCACCTGTGTAATTATCATGCTGTTTAATCAGCTGCTTGATATGCCACACCTGTCAAATGGATGGATTATCTTGGCATGGTAGAAATTCTCACTAACAGGGATGTAAACAAATGTTTTCACAAAATTTGGGAGATAGAAGCTTTTTGTGCGTATGGAACATTTCTGGGATCTTTTATTTCAGCTCATGAAACATGGGACCAACACTTTACATGTTGCTTTTATATATTTGTTCAGTATATATGTTGATTTCCTTAACAAATCTACAGCTAAATATTTGTATTTATGAACGGTAGGGTGAAATTCCACCCAGGTTTATGATTAATATTGAAGTTGGAACAGTCGCAGAAAAAAACAAAGGCTCTTTCTTGCCACTGTGTTCTTTTGTTCAGGAGTCATGCTAGATACTGTGTAGATATCACATAGTAAACACAACAGTTCAAACACACATGACTTAGTGATTTATCAGGATAATAAAGTCATTGGAGTTCTTGACCCCTGTTTCTGATCCATGACTTCAGACAGGGGGTCTGTCTGTCTGTCTGACTCTTCCTCTCCCTCTCTCTCTCCCTCTCTCTCGACGAAGAGCGAGGGGGCTGTCTCTGGCGAGGAGTCTCTCTCTCTCTCTCTTAGCGAGAGCGGGCGAGAGCAGAATAGAGAGAGAGGCGCTAGGCACGCGAGAGGATCTCCGAGAGAGAGAGCTCTCTCTCTTCTCTCTCTCTCTCCTCTCCTCTCGTCTCGTCTGTAGCGCTCTTCCTCTCTCTCTCATCTCTCTCTCCTCTCTCTGCTACTCTCTCTCTTCTCTTCTCTCTCTCTCTCTCTCTTCTTCCTCATCCCCTCGCTCTCCTCGTTCTCTCTCTCTCTCTCTCTCCAGGTGTGGTACAACATGTTTAACTTCGTAGCAGATATGCCGGAGGTGGAGCCGGTGGATGTATTTCTGGGCGTGGCTAGGTTCTTCGTGGTGGGCATGGGGGGTCTGGGCTTTGGTGTCATCTTTGGCTTCGTAGCCTCCTTCACCACGCGTTTCACCTCTAACGTCAGGGAGATAGAACCCCTCTTTATCTTTATGTACAGCTACCTGGCCTACCTTGTGGCAGAGCTGTTCTCCATCTCCAGCATTATGGCGTGAGTGACGGAATGAGCATGCACATTGTGCCTACACACACGTATACATGCAGGAAAACACACATGCATACACTAAAACCCACACACACCACTGATGACTCTGTGTTACGTCTGTCCACAGCATTGTGACCTGTGCCCTGACCATGAAGTACTATGTGGAGGAGAATGTGTCCCAGCGGTCCTGCACCACTATCCGCCATGTGGTCAAAATGCTGGGCACCATCTCAGAGACCCTCATCTTCTTCTTCCTGGGCGTGGTCACCATAACAACGGAACACGAGTGGAACTGGGGCTACATCATGTTCACACTGCTGTTCGCCTTCGTGTGGAGAGGCCTGGGTAAGAGGGGGAGAGTGTGTGTGTTTTTGGGGAGAAGGGGGGGGGGGGGGGTGCAGAGGCTATGACAAAGTGTCTTGTGAGTTCACTTAGAAAGATGAGCCAATCTGTGCAGTGCCTTACTCAGGCTGATCAGTTTGAATATGGAGTGAAACATCCTGATTCTCACCTTTAACCTTTCACCCTTTACCTCCACTCCTCCCAGGTGTCCTGGTGCTGACCCAGATCATTAACCCTTTCCGTACCATCCCCTTCAACTTCAAGGACCAGTTTATTCTGGGTTACGGTGGCCTGCGAGGGGCAATCTCCTTTGCCCTGGTCTTCACCCTTCCAGACAGCATTGGCCGCAAGAAACTCTTTGTCACCACCACCATCTGTATGATCATGTTCACAGTCTTCATCCAGGTAGGAGAGAAGTGATCCAAAAGTGATCCAGAAGTGATCTAGATGCCTGGTTTAGTAATAACTATCTGACCAGAACCATTGATATCCTGCTCCTGTCCACAGGGAATCAGCATACGGCCGCTGATCGAGTTTATCAACGTCCGCAGAACCAACCGCAACCTGGACACCATCAACGTAGAGATCCACTCCAGGGTAGGTCAAGAAATAGTGTTTGTTTGTTTTCTTGTCATTGGGCTGTTGTTTTTACTGTACAGTGCACAGTTCCAGTCTGCAGTATATGCTATGTTTTGGCTCACTGTGTGTGTAGCCACCTGTAACCCCTCCCCTCTCATCCCTCAGCTCATGGAGCACACCATCGCTGGGGTAGAGGACCTCTGTGGCCAGTGGAGCCACTACTACTGGAAGGACAAGTAAGAGCTTCTTTTTCCTGTTTCATCACTTCCTGTCCACCTACTCCCAGGGTACCATTGTTTAGGGAGGCAGGTCTGGTTTGAATACCCGAGCCGACAAGGTGAAAAATCTGTTGATGTGCCCTTGAGCAAGGCACTTAACCCTAATTTTGCTCCAGTTGTGCCGTACTATTATGGCTGATCCTGTTAAACAACACATTTCCCTGCACCTATCTGGTCTATGTGACAATAAAATATATATTTTTTCTTATTTTTCTTATTTGGCTTCCTCTCCTCGTCAGCTTTCATACATCTGCTCTGACTACTTACTTAAAAGATGACTTCCTTAGGGGCATCATTTGCCTTCACCTAACCTGTGTTTAAAGAGCAGTAAAGATGAAGTGAAGGAAGTGACTTTTGATGCTACATATTAATCAAATGTCACTGGTTGTATATTTTGTTTCCTTTTAACATTGCTCAGTCCCTACCTGTTTCCCTAGTGAACAGGGGGTGAGATTAAAGTTTTTCTGCGTTCTAGATTTTGCTGTCTGCGGTTTTTGTTTTTTCATTGCCATTGTTCTGGCTGTGAAAGCATGGCTTGACATTTTACTGGAATTCGGTGTCGTGTTCCTTTGAGCTGCAACTTTCTCATGAGTGGCTTCTACTCTTCCCCCTATGTCCCAAACAAATGTACGGTCCTTCCACACACCTAGAGTTGGTATAGTAACAATACACCCCCACCCCCTCCATGACCCATATCCTCACTACACCCCTCTGTACACCAGAAAGTGTTTGTCTGGAATCCTTTTTAAGTCAGCTTAGGTCAACTCTCCTAGTCAGAACTTGTCGTCATACCAGGAAGCAAAGCACATTCCCTCTCTCCTTTAGTTTCCACGACCATACACCACTTAGCCTGTTGGAGGACTTTGGGAGGAGCTTACATCTATCCAGTTTCTATAACTTTGTGTGAACACCAAGGCATGAGTTTAATATTGCTTCCATGGGTATTATGAAATGCCTCTGTCTGTGACTGTCTGTGATAATGTTTAGTATCTGCCCTCTTTGTCAGGTTTCTGAAGTTTAATAACCGGATCCTGCGTAAGATCCTGATCAGGGATAACCGGGCAGAGTCTAGCATTGTGGCGCTGTACAAGAAGCTGGAGCTGCAGAACGCTGTGGAGATACTGGACACAGTGTCTGGAGACATCAACGCTGCTCCTTCCATGGTCTCTCTACAGTACGTTTATCTACTCTCTCTGATCTCGATATAGGGATCGATATCGCTATAGAAATAATCTAGATGGCTCTGTCGGAGTGAGAGAATGCGGGAGAGAAGAGCTAGAGATTGGGGAGAAGTAGAGAAGTAGAGAGAGAGAGATAGAGCAGAGATGAGGGGTTGGAGGCGAGAAGAGGAGAGAGGAGAGAAGAGAGAAGAGAGAGAGAGCGTAAAAAAGAGGACCGAGAAAGCGAAAGAGAGAGAGAGAGAGACGAGAGAGAGCGAGAGAAGCGAGGAGTAGGAGAGAGAGAAGAGAGAGAGATGTTCTCTATATCTATCTCTCTGTTATAGTCTATATCTCTCTCTATATATATCTCTCCTCCATCTATATAACCTCTATTTGTCTCGCTCTCTCTCTTTCTCTTCTCTCTCTCTCTTCTCTCTCTCTCTCTCTCTCTCTTCTCTCTCTGCTCTCTCTCTCTCTCTCTCTCTCTCTCTCTCTCTCGTTGAAATCAAATCAAATCAAATTTTATTTGCCACATGCACCGAATACGACAGGTGTAGACCTTACAGTGAAATGCTTACTTACAAGCCCTTAACCAACAATGCAGTTTTAAGAAAAATAAGTGTTAAGTAAAAAATAGATAAGGAAAAAAGAAAAATAACTAATAATTAAAGAGCAACAGTAAAATAAAAGAACAGTATGGAGGCTATATACAGGGGGTACCGGTACAGAGTCAATGTGCGGGGGCACAGGTTAGTCGAGGTAATTTAGGTAATATGTACACGTGGGTAGAGTTAAAGTGACTATGCATAGATAATATTAATCTACACACAATACGCCATAATGACAAAGCAAAAACAGGTTTTTAGACATTTTTGCAAATGTATTAAAAATAAAAATCTTTACATAAGTATTCAGACCCTTTGCTATGAGACTTGAAATTGAGCTCAGGTGCATCCTGTTTCCATTGATCGTCCTTGAGATGTTTTTACAACTGTATTGGAGTCCACCTGTGGGAAATTTATTGGACATGATTTGGAAAGGCACACACCTGTATATATAAGGTCCCACAGTTGACAGTGCATGTCAGAGCAAAAACCAAGCCATGAGGTCGAAGGAATTGTCGGTAGAGCTCCGAGACAGGATTGTGTGTCGAAGGAATTGTCGGTAGAGCTCCGTGACAGGATTGTGTTTGGCCGCTCGGCCAAACTGAGCAATCTGGGGAGAAGGGCCTTGGTCAGGGAGGTGACCAAGAACCCGATGGTCACTCTGACATCGCTCCAGAGTTCCTCTGTGGGGATGGGAGAAACTTCCAGAAGGACAACCATCTCTGCAGCACTCCACCAATCCTCAGTAAAAGGAGGCCCGCTTGGAGTTTGCCAAAAGGCACCTAAAGACTCTCAGACCATGAGAAACAAGATTATCTGGTCTGATGAAACCAAGATTGAGCTCTTTGTCCTGAATGCCAAGCGTCACGTCTGGAGGAAACCTGGCACCATCCCTACAGTGAAGCATGGTGGTGGCAGCATCATGCTGTGGGGATGTTTTTCAGCGGCAGGGACTGGGAGACTAGTCAGGATCGAGGGAAAGATGAACGGAGCAGAGTACAGAGAGATCCTTGATGAAAACCTGCTCCAGAGCGCTCAGGACCTCAGACTGGGGGCGAAGGTTAATCTTCCAACAGGACAATGACCCTAAGCACACAGCCAAGACAATGCAGGAGTGGCTTCGGGACAAGTCTCTGAATGTCCTTGAGTGGCTCAGCCAGAGCCTGGACTTGAACCCGATCGAACATCTCTGGAGAGACCTGAAAATAGCTGTGCAGCGACACTCCCCATCCAACCTGACAGAGCTTGAGAGGATCTGCAGAGAAGAATGGGAGAAACTCCCCAAATACTGGTGTCAAGTTTGTAGTGTCATACCCAAGAAGACTTCAAATCAAATGTTATTTGTCACATACACGTGTTTAGCAGATGTTATTGCGGGTGTAGCGAAATGCTTGTAAAGGACACTTTCTGAAGAATACATAGAAAAACAAAATACCGCAAAGTTTCCTAAGAGCTAGTCGCGAGGCCGCCATCCTCGTCGGCGCCAGGCTGTAATCACTGCCAAAGGTGCTTCAACAAAGTACTGAGTAAAGGGTCTGAATACTTACGTAAATGTGATATTTCCGTTTTTCATTATGGAGTATCGTGTGTAGATTGATGAGGGGAAAAAACTATTGAATACATTTTAGAATAAGGCTGTAACGTAACAAAATGTGTAAAAAGTCAAGGGGTCTGAATACTTTCCGAAGGCATTGTATATACAGTGAGGGAAAAAAGTATTTGATCCCCTGCTGATTTTGTACCTTTGCCCACTGACAAAGAAATGATCATTCTATAATTTTAATGGTAGGTTTATTTGAACAGTGAGAGACAGAATAACAACAAAAAATCCTGAAAAACGCATGTCAAAAATGTTATACATTGATTTGCATTTTAATGAGGGATATTAGTATTTGACCCACTCTCAATCAGAAAGATTTCTGGCTCCCAGGTGTCTTTTATACAGGTAACGAGCTGAGATTAGGAGCACACTCTTAAAGGGAGTGCTCCTAATCTCAGCTTGTTACCTGTATAAAAGACAATCAATCAATCAGTTTCCAAACTCTCCACCATGGCCAAGACCAAAGAGCTCTCCAAGGATGTCAGGGACAAGATTGTAGACCTACACAAGGCTGGAATGAGCTACAAGACCATCGCCAAGCAGCTTGGTGAGAAGGTGACAACAGTTGGTGTGATTATTCGCAAATGGAAGAAACACAAAATAACTGTCAATCTCCCTCGGCCCAGAACTACACGGGAGGATCTTGTCAGTGATCTCAAGGCAGCTAGGACCATAGTCACCAAGAAAACAATTGGTAACACACTACGCCGTGAAGGACTGAAATACTGCAGCGCCCGCAAGGTCCCCCTGCTCAAGAAAGCACATATACAGGGCCGTCTGAAGTTTGCCAATGAACATCTGAATGATTCAGAGGAGAACTGGGTGAAAGTGTTGTGGTCAGATGAGACCGAAATCGAGCTCTTTGGCATCAACTCAACTTGCCGTGTTTGGAGGAGGTGGAATGCTGTGCCTATGACCCCAAGAACACCATCCCCACCGTCAAACATGGAGGTGGAAACATTATGCTTTGGGGGTGTTTTTCTGCTAAGGGGACAAGACAACTTCACCGCATCAAAGGGACGATGGACGGGGCCATGTACCGTCAAATCTTGGGTGAGAACCTCCTTCCCTCAGCCAGGGCATTGAAAATGGGTCGTGGATGGGTATTCCAGCATGACAATGACCCAAAACACATGGCCAAGGCAACAAAGGAGTGGCTCAAGAAGAAGCACATTAAGGTCCTGGAGTAGCCTAGCCAGTCTCCAGACCTCAATCCCATAGAAAATCTGTGGAGGGAGCTGAAGGTTCGAGTTGCCAAACGTCAGCCTCGAAACCTTAATGACTTGGAGAAGATCTGCAAAGAGGAGTGGGACAAAATCCCTCCTGAGATGTGTACAAACCTGGTGGCCAACTACAAGAAACGTCTGACCTCTGTGATTGCCAACAAGGGTTTTGCCACCAAGTACTAAGTCAGGTTTTGCAGAGGGGTCAAATACTTATTTCCCTCATTAAAATGCAAATCAATTGATAACATTTTTGACATGCGTTTTTCTGGATTTTGTTGTTGTTATTCTGTCTCTCACTGTTCAAATAAACCTACCATTAAAATTATAGACTGATCATGTCTTTGTCAGTGGACAAACGTACAAAATCAGCAGGGGATCAAATATATTTTTCCCTCACTGTATATATATAACCTAGACAATGTTTTAGAATTCGTAGGCAGTCCAGGATATGAAGGTTGGAGGAAAAGTCAATGCAAAACATTGCTGAATTCAAATGTTCTGCTGACAGGTCCACAACAATGTGCCATTGGTTTTTCTTTTAGAAACTGTCACAGTCATTTGCCAAATACAGCATACAGTGCCTTCATACCCCTTTACTTATTCCACATTTTGTTGTGTTACAGCTTGAATTCAACATTTATTAAATAGTTTTTTTTCTCACCCATCTACACATAATACCCTATAATGACAAAGTGAAAACATGTTTTTAGAAATGTTTGCAAATGTTATGAAAATGAAATACAGAAATATCTAATTTACATAAGTATTCACACCCCCTGAGTCAATACTTTGTAGAAGCACCTTTGGCCGGGATTACAGATGTGAGTCTTTCTGGGTGTGCCAAGTTTTTAGCGTCATACCCAAGAAGATACGAGGCTGTAATCACTGCCAAAGGTGCTTCAACAAAGTACTGAGTAAAGGGTCAGAATACTTACAGTACCAGTCAAAAGTTTGGACACACCTACTCATTCCAGGGTTTTTCTTTATTTTTACTATTTTCTACATTGTAGAATAATAGTGAAGACATCAAAACTATGAAATAACACATATGGAATCATTTAGTAACCAAAAAAGTGTTAAACAAATCAAAATATATTTTACATTTGAGATTCTTCAAATAGCCACCCTTTGCCTTGATGACAGCTTTGCACACTCTTGGCAATCTCTCAACCAGCTTCACCTGGAATGCTTTTCCAACAGTCTTGAAGGAGTTCCCACATACGCTGAGCACTTGTTGGCTGCTTTTCCTTCACTCTACGGTCTGACTCATCCCAAACCATCTCAATTTGGTTGAGGTCGGGTGATTGTGGAGGCCAGGTCATCTGATGCAGCACTCCATCACTGTCTTCTTGGTAAAATAGCCCTTACACAGCCTGGAGGTGTGTTGAGTCATTGTCCTGTTGAAAAACAAATGATAGTTCCACTAAGCCCAAACCAGATGGGATGGCGTATCACTGCAAAATGCTGTGGTAGCCATGCTGGTTAAGTGTGCCTTGAATTCTAAATAAATCACAAACAGTGTCACCAGCAAAGCACCCCCACACCATAACACCTCCTCCTCCATGCTTTACGGTGGAAAATACACATGCGGAGATCCTCCTTTCAGCCACATCGCGTCTCACAAAGCCACGCCGGTTGGAACCAAAAATCTGCAATTTGGACTCCAGACCAAAGGACAAATTTAGGTCTAATGTCCGTTGCTCGTGTTTCTTGGCATTCTCTCAACCAGCTTGGCCTAAGCAAGTCTCTTCTTCTTATTGGTGTCCTTTAGTAGTGGTTTCTTTGCAGCAATTCGACGATGAAGGCCTGATTCACACAGTCTCCTCTGAACAGTTGATGTTGAGTTGTGTCTGTTACTTTAACTCTGTGAAGCATTTATTTGGGCTGCAATTTCTGAGGCTGGTAACTCTAACGAACTTATCCTCTGCAGCAGAGGTAACTCTGGGTCTTCCATCCTCATGAGAGCCAGTTTCATCATAGCGCTTGATGGTTTTTGTGACTACACTTGAAGAAACTTTCAAAGTTCTTGAAATGTTCTGTATTGACTGACCTTCATGTCTTAAAGTAATGATGGACTGTTGTTTCTCTTTGCTTATTTGAGCTGTTTTTCCATAATATGGACTTGGTCTTTTACCAAATAGGGCTATCTTCTGTATACCTTGTCACAACACAAGTGATTGGCTCAAATGCATTAAGAAGGAAAGAAATTTCACAAATGAACTTTTAAGAAGGCACACCTGTTAATTGAAATGCATTCCAGGTGACTACCTTATGAAGCTGGTTGATATAATGCCAAGAGTATGCAAAGCTGTCATCAAGGCAAAGGGTGGCTATTTGAAGAATCTCAAATAAAACATATATTTTGATTTGTTTAACACTTTCTTGGTTACTTCATGATTCTATATGTGTTATTTCATAGTTTTGATGTCTTCACTATTATTCTACATTGTAAAAAATAGTAAAAATAATGAAAAACCCTTGAATGAGTAGGTGTGTCCAAACCTTTGACTGGTAGTGTATGTAAATGTAATATTTCAGTTTTTTATTTTTAAGATATTTTCTAAAATTCTAAAGACCTGTTTTTGCTTTGTCATTATGGGGTATTGTGTGTAGATTGATAAGGGGAAAAAAACAATTTTTAATCCGTTTTAGAATAAGGCTGTAACGTAACAAAATGTGAAAAAAGTCAAGGGGTCTGAATACTTTCCGAATGCACTGTACATACATTTTACGGACACAGCATATTTTATATTAGTTATCTTGTTATTTTTAGTCCCACCCTTGAGCTCCACTCAACCCCTCCTATCTATCTCTGAACACCATCCTGTTTTGATTTCTATTTGCCATATATTTTTTAACTGTGCTGTGATGTTTCACAGAAGTTCTGAACCTTTCCATTCTCATAGTTTCGAAAGATTGTAAATTAAAGGTAAACATTTTTGATAAGCGTATTATTAAATTATTGATCGATTGGCTATGACTTTTGAAATGATCCAGCAGTGCTATTTACAGAGTTAGCTCCAGGTAAGTGTTGCAATTCTTCAGCCATTCCTGAACCTGCGACCAAAAACAAGCTACATCTGGACTGTACCAAAACAAATGATCTAATGATTCTCTCTTCGCAGCAAAATCTGCAGAGCTGGGATGGTTGTACTTGTGTATCAGTTCATAAACCATGTGCCATGGAATCGGTACATCGAAAATCTCTTCCCAACTATTTTGCAATCTATACGGCACAGTTGTCCTTAAATGCAACTGGTATACTTTTATATTTATCACAATTTTCTTTAACCAATTGTAGTCTTTACTGCAGGGCCGACACACAAGTTCCTTACTTTCTCCCCCTTCCACTTGCGTCTTCCATTTTTGCGGTAATGCTGCAATTAGTTGGTTTTAATTTTGGATATAGCAGACATTTCCATATATTTTTGTTAGCTGCATGTGTGACATAACGCCTCCAGTCCTATTTAGGACATCATTTACAAAGATTATACTGTTTTTAAGCATTCTGTTATTTGTGTTTGTTCCTCTAGCAAGGAGAAGAAGGGCTCTGGTAAACCCAAGAGGAAGTTTGTGGCTGCAGACCTGAGGAACATGCATGACATCCTGTCCAAGAACATGTACAATATCAGACAACGGGTGAGTCTCTTCCTTAACTAGGTTTACCTTACGCAGAGCCCTTTTACCTTACGCAGAGCCCTTTTACCTTACTCAGAGCAGCTTTACCTTACTCAGAGCACCTTTACCTTACTCAGAGTACCTTTACCTTACTCAGAGCACCTTTACCTTACGCAGAGCCCTTTTACCTTACTCAGAGTACCTTTACCTTACTCAGAGCACCTTTACCTTACTCAGAGCACCTTTACCTTACTCAGAGCACCTTTACCTTACGCAGAGCCCTTTTACCTTACTCAGAGTACCTTTACCTTACTCAGAGCACCTTTACCTTACTCAGAGCACCTTTACCTTACTCAGAGCACCTTTACCTTACTCAGAGCACCTTTACCTTACTCAGAGCACCTTTACCTTACTCAGAGCACCTTTACCTTACTCAGAGCACCTTTACCTTACGCAGAGTACCTTTACCTTACTCAGAGCACCTTTACCTTACTCAGAGCACCTTTACCTTACGCAGAGTACCTTTACCTTACGCAGAGTACCTTTACCTTACTCAGAGCACCTTTACCTTACTCAGAGCACCTTTACCTTACTCAGAGCACCTTTACCTTACTCAGAGCACCTTTACCTTATTCAGAGCACCTTTACCTTATTCAGAGCACCTTTACCTTAGTCAGAGTACCTTTACCTTACTCAGAGCACCTTTACCTTACGCAGAGCCCTGTTTCTTACATGAATGTTTGTGCTTCCATACCTGTGTGTGCTGTACCTCATGTGTTGTTTTGCATAGCCACATTGCCTGCTGTACCTCACTGTTTTGCATAATGCCTGTGGTCAGCAGTACTTTTCCATAAGTTACCTTTTGAAAATGAGCCACTAGGAGTGTGTTTGTGTTTTTATTGTGATGGGATTCTCTCTGTGAGCTTATCTTATCATCTGCCCACTCCTTCACAGTTCCCCCCCCCACTAACACAAATACACCCCTCACTGTCACAGATCTCATTGTATCATTGGTGTCGACATTAGATCATGTGATGTGTTGATTGGCTGTTGGAACCGTTTGACTTCCACTCTCCTAAGCCGTAAAACAGGTCTGACAGCTCCCTGTCCCAGCATGCGGCCATAATCAGTATCTGTTGATCACCAAACCCATGCGCTAGATCAAATAGCCTAGGGATGCTTATACCTATCCAATCCTCTCAGATCTACAAAAGTTAAGTATATTGGGTTAGGGGCTATGGGTTTATTACGGGCATTGGGCATCTCTCTGTAGTGATCAGTCTTTTCCAGGAGAGAGGGAGGTACGTCAGCCCATTAGACACAAACAGAGCCTGGTATCGTTCAGATAAGCTTCATGGTTCAGACAGGTGAGGGTGTGGCCAGCTACGGTTGGGTGACTGCACAGAGCCACAGACACAGACAGAAGAAGGTTGTGTGGTAAAACACAAAAGCTGGCGTGTGCAAAATCCACTCTTGTTATGTAACCAGGAGTGTAGGCTATAGCAGCACTCTCTCTGTAAGGACTGGTGTGTCATTAGGTTATTAGGAGAATACAGCCGCAATTAGGTGTGTGTGTCATTAGTGTGTGTGTGTCATTAGTGTCTGTGTCACTAGTGTGTGTGTCATTAGTGTGTGTGTGTCATGTGTGTGTGTGTTATTAGTGTGTGTGTCATTAGTGTGTGTGTGTCATTAGTGTGTGTGTGTCATTAGTGTGTGTGTCATTAGTGTGTGTGTCATTAGTGTGTGTGTCATTAGTGTGTGTGTGTGTGTCATTAGTGTGTGTGTGTCATTAGTGTGTGTGTGTGTCATTAGTGTGTGTGTGTGTCATTAGTGTGTGTGTGTCATTAGTGTGTGTGTCATTAGTGTGTGTGTGTGTCATTAGTGTGTGTGTCATTAGTGTGTGTGTGTCATTAGTGTGTGTGTCATTAGTGTGTGTGTGTCATTAGTGTGTGTGTGTCATTAGTGTGTGTGCCATTAGTGTGTGTGTCATTAGTGTGTGTCTTTAGGAGATTAAAAGCAGGGTGGTACAGATAGAGCTAGTGTATGTAGAAACCTCAAGTTAGATTGGGAGTGTTTGCTGCAATCTGTTGGCCTCTACTACAGTATGGTGCTGTATCAGATTTTCTATGCAGTGTGTGTTTTACGTAATGTGTTGTGTGTTATAGTGCATGTTATCAGACGATAGGTGTGTCTGTTATGTATTATGCGTTTCTCTGTGGGGTTTTTCAGACTACGGCGTACACCACCAAGCACTCCCTGCCCAACGACAGCCAGACAAAAGAGATCCTGATCCGTCGGCACACCAGCATCCGACGCAGCCTCCGACCCGGCAGCTTCCACGGACCGGTGCGGAACACACAGACCTATATTAGGAACAGATATTAACCTAATTTAGTAGTAATGTTAGAACATATATTAACCTAAATATTTTAGTAGTAATGTTAGAACAGATATTAACCTAAATAATTTTGTAGTAATGTTAGAACATATATTTAACCTAAATAATTTAGTAGTAATGTTAGAACAGATATTAACCTAAATAATTTAGTAGTAATGTTAGTAATGTAGGCCTAGTCTGTGCACAGCATTTGATGATCTGATAAAAAAATATTTTTTTACATGAAATCCCTTTGTTGTCCCCTGTAGCTCAGTTGGTAGAGCATGGCGCTTGCAATGCCAGGGTTGTGGGTTCGTTTCCCACAGGGGCCAGTATGAAAATGAAAATGTATGCACTCACTATCTGTAAGTCGCTCTGGATGAGAGCGTCTGCTAAAATGACTAAAATGTAAAAAAAATAAAAATGTTGTGATCAAAGTGTAGAACCGCTTATCTCACTTTATCCTCCTCTCACCCCCTCCTTTTTCTCTTTCTCTCAGGATGAGGCCAAGTCCCAGAAGTACTTTTCTCTGCCTTCAGGGAAGAGTCTGGACTCAAAGTTCCCTCCTCAGAGACTGAGGCATACAGGTGATGCTCAAAATGAAGTGTGTGTGTGTCACTCTATGATCTCTACAATATTTAGGCTCTTTGCACTTCAATGCTTGGATCCCAAACTAAATTGACAATGTCTCTCTCTCAGGTAATGGTGATGATGTAACCATGTCGGAGGAGGATTACCCATCAGCCCGCTCCAGGTTTGACCAGCCCAGTCGCTCCTCATCCCGAGCCATGCTGCCCCTACGCAGGCTGAACACACTGAAAGAGGTGCCCTCTAGCTCTGTAGTGGACCTGGTGGATGAGAGGAGTGGAGGAAGAGGTGCCTGGGGGCGTGGCATGTCCCGACTAAACTCCTCCTCCAGTGACTCCCGGATACCCGCCCCTCGCCGTCGCCACGACCCATCCAACAGCCCTGGTAATGGCTCCTCAGGTGACCACAGGCCAGAGGGGGAGGAGCAGCAGCCATTGTCCCCGACCCCAGCCTGGGCTGCAGAGCCTGGTGACCGTGACGACAGCGGAACGCAGAAACCCCTGCTCATGCCTCAGTGGAACACTCGGAAACCCCAGAACCCCTGAGGACCAATCAGCTGTCAGGAAAGTAGCAGCAGGACTGCTATAGGCTGTCTTGGGTTCTAATCTACAACGACTCCAGAATCTCAGAACTGAGAAGTGTCAAATACCACAAGATTAAAATGCACTATAAGCCAAGGGGGAATGGATAATGGATTGTCTACAACAGCGATTCTCAACGGGGAGTTTTTTAATGGGTCGAAGGATAAAAAAATACAAATAAAAAAATACTCCAGTATGAACTTAAACAACTAAAACCAGGTAGAAAGTGTGTACAAATTATAATCAACCTATATTTTTTCATAATTTAACCACTGAACTATTTTTCTTCAAAACAGTGTTCTCAATATAGAGTTATTAGCGGCGCTATTTAGCGGATTTGGTTGATTTTGTGGTCTCAAACCAGTGAGCTTAACATTCTTCATCAAGAATATGGGCAAAATTGAATTCTTGACAATTAAAAAAGTGGGACTGTTGTTCCCTTGTCATATAATTGTTACATTTACTATCAATATAACATTAAAAATAGTTTTCCAGATTGCATTTTGGCCCCCCAAAATGTGCGATGCCAATATTGGATCGTGACTGAGACAACCTCGTTCAATTTGGGTCCTGAGGCAAAACCAGTTGAGAACCACTGGTCTACAACCAACCATTCTCTGAAGAGCAAAGACTATTGCAACACAACACTCTAAATAAGATATCAAGTTTAAAAAAAGACAAATCTTTACTATTAGGCTCACAGAGATCCTATTAAATTAATAGGGATTCTATATGTAATTCTATGTTTTGCCCCCCCTGCCAAAATGTGTGCACGTGCTTGTACCATACCAGGAAGAAATGTAATTAACTTTCACCCCTGGTTTTACCTAGAATATTTAAATTACATTATTTAATAGATGTTAATACATTTGTATATCTCTATGCAAGTGAAGACACTTTCAGGAAAGACACGTCTTATCTTGTAGCTTTTCTGTTTTTTGTTTTTCCTTGTGTCTGACATTCAGACCAGTAATGTCTAAACAGGGTCTCATGAACACTGCTCTGACTTTCTGTGTTGCTTTAGTTAAGTAATAAAATGTTGATGTATAATGTTGAAATACCACCTTATTTCTTTACAAAATAGTCCTTCTATTGACTAGCTGCTGTATTGCAGAGATGGAACCGTGTTTATAGTCTTATGCTTCGCTCATGACAAACTCGGAAAATACTACTTGTAAACCGGGAGCAACGAGTTGTGTGCATTCACGTGCTTTGAATTCTTTAACAAAGCAGATTGGCTAATGGAAAACAAGCTGTTACAACTATAAATGAAAAGTACAGCTATCATGCTTGTAAACAGGTTAGTGTTAAAAAAAACATAAATAAATGTTTATTGTATTTTATTGTATTTATTGTGTTGTATCTAACTGCTGAAAATGCTATCGAGGTAATTTCCTTAGTAGGTGACGTCAGAGTTTAACATGTGGGAGAAGTCAGAGCTCAGGGATGATGGACGAGTTTGACACTAGTAATTATAAGTTGGAGGGGCGTTCAAGTGGATTTTCCCCAGTCATATGCTCATATTTATGAATTTAGGAGATGTCATGAACTCAGCATTAGCAACAGAGCTAAAACCACCTTGTAGGAGAAATACATCTCACACAAACTTGAACCTTCAGTCATCCATCATCAAATCTAAAAGAAATTAAACTGAAGTTATGCAACTGCCACATTAAAGAACATTCACATGTTTAGAAATATACTTATTTGATTGTCAAATGGCAGGATCTTCACTTCCTTCATATTAATCATTCAGTACAATAATTGTCTTCATAACATTCAGTAGCATTTGGGTCAATGTAAGGGCAACTCCATTCAAAATAAGAGGAAAACTTCATATCAAAATAATAATTAACAATTTGTATTGATAAATATAAGCCCACTTTCCAATAAATGAATGAATTGGGAATAAACTCAATATGGACTATGTAGAATAAGGGAAAATAATATACAATTAAAATTTATTATATATTTTTTATAAAAGTAACAATTTCCATTAAAAAGGTCCCGATACCTTAGTGGTTAAAAGGAAGTAGGATGATGTTACCCACAGACACTGATCTAAGATCCTTTAAAAATATGTTTTACTTCCCCCCACATGGTTAGGGTTAGGATTTAGGAAGGGTAAATTAATCCTAGATATGTGCCCGTGGACAACCCTTACTCAAGCTCAATTAAGGTTATTGACCCTTTTCCCCAGTGTGCATTTGATCACTCCCCCTAAAGGATTTAAAAGCATTGGATTGGTGTGGATGTTTTCACACCAATCCAAATGTGTTCAATTCTTAAGGGAGGGTGAATGAGTGCATACTTTGGTGAGAAGGGAGAGAAAATAGAATTTGGCACCAGAGAGGTAAGAGAAGCCCCTTCACCCTCATAGGATAGGTCAGAAACAGAGCATTTTGGGAAATGTGTATTTTCAATACCAGGACTTTCCTGGACTATTTGTAGTGGTTATTAAGGAAGAGCAGGATTACATTAGAGTAACATTAGGCTTATATGTTGTTGTTTTTAATTGAATTACTGTCTCTCACTAGAGATATAAACATTTGAATATTTCTAAGCTATATGAACTCAATGAGCCTGTAGTGTAGGTTATTCGTAGGTGTTATCATCAATCAAGGAGTCTGCTTAGGCTGGATCGTGTTCAAAGGCCTTTATTCAAACCACGAGGTTCCAGCGTAAGTACGGACACAATATCCGGAGAACCAGACCCCAAATAAATCTTGCTGTATTCTAACTCTTCGTCACCGCTCCCCCCTTTATATAGCCTTCCAAGAGTTGAATAGCTCCCTCTACTGTTCAATCCCCGTATCTTACCACCCACTTCCTGTTTGTCATAGGTGACGTCACACTAAAACCTTCCCTCTGGATAGCAATAATCAACCTTCCATTTCTTCATGAAAAACCTTTAACAAAGACATAATTTTAATATACTACAAGCCACTGACATTTTGTTGACCTATGCTAAGCTAACTTAGCATGGACACCCTCCCACGCCATTTACATGGTTATATTGGTTCATGGTTATCTTGGCAACACTGCACTTTTTGAGTTCGTCCCTGTTTGGGGGACTGAAGGGGGCAACAGCGATGCTGATGATGACCCGGGTCCTATCGGTACTGTGATGTCATCACTTCGAGACCAAACCAACAGAGCCGCAGAGCGGCGTTGTGGCTCTGTCGTCGACAGCTACAAAACAATCAACGAAACAACACCCCGCTGACACGTCAACAACAAACAACCCCAACAGTTCTGCATCAGTTCTGTCTCCAGTGCTGTGGTAATTTTGATCTCGCTCCCTCTCTCATTGTCTCTCTCATTGATTCACTCTCTCTCTGTGCGTGACTCAGAGTTATGCCTCTTTCCTCTTGCCTCTCCCGTCCCATTTTTGCACCCTGACCAGCAGCAGGGCGACAGCCGCTAACGCCAGTCCCACCCCCAGAACAGGGGGCCCACAGGGACTAAACTCCTGGGCCAGCCCCGAGAGCAGGGGGGCGAGCACGCGCCCCACCGCAGTCACCGACTGCCCCGCCCCGATGAGTGTGCCGCTGGCGTGAGCTCCCCCTTTCTGCAGCTCCAGGTCGGTGATGCAGTTGCGTCCGATGGTCGTGGAGATGGCGAAGAAAGTGGAACTTAACAACACATGCCAGACACTGGGCGCTGCGGCGTAGAGCAGGATTAGGCAACACGTGAGGACCGTAGAGTGTAGCAACAGCGCCGGCATATCGTTACCGTACAGTTTGGTGACGGGCCCCACCAAGCACCCGGCTAGGGCCCCCAGGGTAGAGCTGTAGCTGATTAGATAACCTGTGGCCTTGGGCTTCAGCATGAAGCGCTCCTCCATGGCCAGGGAGAAGTTACTGTAGTACAGCATTATGGCCATGGCCATGAGCAGACGCACCAGGAACAGGTCCCACATGTCCGAGGAGGCCACCGTGCTAATCTTGGAGCCCACCGAGGAGAGCTGACGCCAGGCAGGCTGGAGCAGGGACACCTCCCCCCAGTCCAGGTCCCAGCTCCTTTGGTTCTTCCCCGGAGTCACTGATCCCGTGACCGCTGTCGCCGACGCTGTAGTGTGTTTATTGCTGTTGCCATGGGAGCAGTTTTGCTGTGTCGAGATGAAGTGGTTGTCGTTCTCGTGGCAGCTGGCTTTGCTAGCGCTGCTGTTGGAGTTAGCATCGGTGCGTGGGGTTAGTGCATCGCTCCAGGGAAGCAGCCAAACCAGACCTGGATGGAACAAAACAAACACAAGGTTAGAAAGCACATAGACTGGCTAGGTATATGCTGTATGATAACATCTGATTCCATCTGGCTGGAATTTTCACAACATTGCTTGCACCTATACCATCCTTTCACATCCACAAAGTGGCTAGAGTTAAGGTGGGATTTACAATTGGGAATACCAACATATTTGCCTTGCACCCCTATTGCCTACTCTCCTGCTCCTTCCCTCTCTCTCTCCTTGCCTCTCCCTCCCTCCCTCCCTCCCCCACCTCCCATCCTCTCCCCTCACCCCCACCTACCTGTATTGAGGAGGAAGATGGCGGCGCAGGTGAAGGAGGAGGTGTAGAAGCCCCCCTCGTGCTCTGTGAGGTAGCCCCCCACCACGGGTCCCAAGATGAAGCCCACGCTGGAGGCCGCGTTGAAGTGCCCCATCACCAGGGGGCGCTCCGCCTCAGACACCAGATCAGAAAGCAGGGCCCGGCAGATAGACAGGGAGTGCTTGAACAGCCCTGGAGGACAGAGCGAGAGGGAGCGGACACATGACACAGATAAGTAGTTTTAACATGTTTGTGTGTAACAGAACGTTACTGATTGATTATTTCTTTACTGACGGTCACGGTGCAATTACAACGTCAAAAGCATATTTTGTGAACGATTCAGACTCAGATAAATGGTAGAGGTCTTTCAAGGCCAAAGCCTCTGAAGCAATTAGTCTCCTCCCTGACTCACCCAAGGTGTTCTACCTCCCCCTCTCTCCCCCAGTCTGACTCACCCACAGGGATCCTAGCCAGGACAAACAGGGTGATGTTGGTGGACATCCCCAGCAGGCCGTAGCCCAGAGCACTCAGCAGCAGACACGTCAGCATAGAGTACCGCCTTCCCACCACGTCACTCCAGCTGCCCTGCCAATCACAACCACCATCATCACACACAGGAAGTGACATCGCATCCTGGGAAGTGGCATATAGGACAGAGTAGTATTGTTTCACATAGTAACACAAGGTATTAAACGTCTCCACATTGTTGCTGGACACAGGGTGCATCTCAATGGACACTACTGGCTTCCTTTCCATCATCTACCCTTGCATCTACCCTGGATTCCTTTCCTTAAATGAGGAAAGGAATCCACTTTAAACTATTGAGACTTATCCTGGCTGCCCAACCAACAACATAGAGCATGAGATAATGAGACCCCCCCTCTTTCTGAGGGCGTAACACGAGGACATGAGTGTCAGTGGTACAGAGGAATTCCACTGTGTGGTCCTCTGGGCCAAGCAACCCAGGCACCTCCACAGTCTCTCATTCCACTGATATATGCATGACACACAGACAACACTTATACGCTGAAATAGAAACACTCATTAATTTACATGTTAGTCCTTTAGCAGACGCTCCTATCCAGAGCCACTTACAGTAGTGAGTGTATACATTTTCGTACTGGTCCCCCGTGGGAGTCGAACCCACAACCCTGGCGTTGCAAGCGTCGTGCTCTACCAACTGAGTCACACACGCGGGCTTACACACGCAGACACATAACACAAAATCTGACTCTATAGCGTGCATGTAGAAATGCACGCACATGCACACACACATACACACACGGTATAATGGAATCAGAGTCAATTGAATTTGCTGTGTTCTGGATGTGGCCTGTGGGGATTACCATAGAGACCTGGCTGTTGCCTCCCTCCCTCCCTCCTCCCTCCATCACCCCATCCATCCCTCCCTCCCTCCTTCCTCCCTCCATCACCCCATCCATCCATCCCTCCCTCCATCACCCCATCCATCCATCCCTCCCTCCCTCCCTCCCTCCATCACCCCATCCATCCATCCCTCCCTGCCTGTCTGTTCACTGGGGCCACAAACGATTCCTTCTCCTCCTTTAATTCGTCTCATAAACCAATTTCAGGAGACTGTGGGGGAAGGGGAAGTGCCTCACAACTCTACTCTGAGAATCTCTATCTCTCTTCAGAGGAGGCCTCTCTCAGCGTACAGTATCATCCTTGTTAAGAGCCATAGATTCAGAGGAATGTGTGGATGTTAATGTTAGGGCATGGTGGAGCATCCAGCTCCAATCAGACCCTCAGATGTTGACATCGTCGTGGAGACCAAAGGACACAAACACCATGTCAGGAGAGGTCTTAGGGCAGTGTGTGTGTGTGACTGCTCAATGCTGTCATACCAGAAACACACTGGCATACCACAAGACATACAGTACCACAACACTAATGCCTGTCTTCAGAACACCATGTCAATACTTACAACTATAGTGCTAGAGAAGAGCTGTAGGATCCCATATGTGGAACCTGAAACATAAATCAATGCATTAGGCACAGATTATGGCACATTCTGAATGTTGAACTATTGTTTATAGACCAATGCCAACAGCGGTGAGCCGCTAGAGATATTTATGATTATAGCTTGCCTACAATGCAAGCCGCTGTAGCACTTTGCATAAGCTATCAGACCCTGTGAACTCAATCAGCGCTCACAGTGATATGAAATGAGTACATCAGCTGGTGATTTCCCACGCAGAGAGAAAGCTTATTTACTTCCTTCATCTTGTCACGATCGTCAGGGTAAGGAGTAGACCAAGGCGCAGCGTTGCAGGCAAACATACTCGTTTATTAAGCGAAACGATATCAAAACAACAAAAGACGGAAACGTGACAGTACACGGTATAACACAACCAACTCGAAACAAGAACCCACAAAACACAAAGGAAAACCGACAGTTTAAATATGGCTCCCAATCAGAGACAACCAGCAAACAGCTGACACTCGTTGCCTCTGATTGGGAGTCACTCAGGCGAACACAGAAATACGGAACATAGATCTACACACCCTGGCTCAACATAACAGTGTCCCCAGAGCCAGGGCGTGACAGTACCCCCCCCTAAAGGCGCGGACTCCGACCGAGCCAACTAAATACCACAGGGGAGGGACCGGGTGGGCACCCCGCCTTGGCGGCGGATCCGGCTCTGGGCCCGATCCCCACTTCCTCTCCAACCCACCAAAGTACCCCTGGTCCTGTCTAGCCCCGCTGGCCGGAGCCGGACTGACGACACGCATCCCTGGCTTGGTGCGTGGAACAGGAACGGACCGGACCGGGCTGACGATGCGCACCCCTGGCTTGGTGCGTGGAGTAGCAACTGGCCGGACCGGGCTGATGATACACACCCCTGGCTTGGTGCGTGGAGCAGGAATGGGCCGGACTGGGCTGGCGACGCGCACCACAGACTTGGTGCGGAGAGCAGGAACGAGCCGGACAGGGCTGACGAAACGCACCACAGACTTGGTGCGGGGAGCAGGAACAGGCCGGACCGGGCTGGCGACGCGCACCACAGGTTTGGTGCGGGGAGCAGGAACAGGCCGGGCCGGGCTGGCGACGCGCACCACAGACTTGGTGCGGAGAGCAGGAACGGGCCGGACAGGGCTGACGAAACGCACCACAGACTTGGTGCGGGGAGCAGGAACAGGCCGGACCGGGCTGGCGACGCGCAACCCAGGTTTGGTGCGGGGAGCAGGAACAGGCCGGGCCGGGCTGGCGACGCGCACCACAGACTTGGTGCGGAGAGCAGGAACGGGCCGGACAGGGCTGACGATACGCACCACCGACTTGGTGCGGGGAGCAGGAACAGGCCGGACCGGGCTGGCGACGCGCACCACAGGCTTGGTGCAGGGAGCAGGAACAGGCCGGGCCGGGCTGGCGACGCGCACCATAGGCTCGGTGCGGGAAGCAGGAACAGGCCGGGCCGGGCTGACGACACGCACCACAGGCTCGATGCGAGGAACAGGAACAGGCCGGACCGTACTGGAGACACACACCACTGGCCCTACGCAGGGATCAGGAACGGGCCGGACCGGACTGGTAACACACCCCAGTACCTCTCGCCATGCCTCCACACTTTCCCTCTCCTCTGTGACCAGTGGCCCCCTTAACCTGGCGGCCTCCTCTGCACACCCGCTGGACCGCTCCATCGCGGCCTCCTGCTGCCCCGTCGTCCACGTCGTGAGCCCCCCCCTAAAAATTTTCTGGGGTTCTCTCCTCCCCGTGGACCAGGCCTCCCTAGTTCTCGCCAGACTCTCACTCTTCTGCTTCCAACTCCCGCTATTCAGCTCCTCAATTGGCTTGACCCAGTCGAAACTCTTAATCCATTGCTCCATAGACCAGCCTCTCTTCTCTTCACTTAGCGGGGCCCAGTCGAAACTCCTACTCCACTGATCCCAGGTCCTTCCTCTCTCCTCTTCACGCTGCTTGGTCCAGTTTAGGTGGGTTCTTCTGTCACGATCGTCAGGGTAAGGAGTAGACCAAGGCGCAGCGTTGCAGGCAAACATACTCATTTATTAAGCGAAACGATATCAAAACAACAAAAGACGGAAACGTGACAGTACACGGTATAACACAACCAACTCGAAACAAGAACCCACAAAACACAAAGGAAAACCGACAGTTTAAATATCGCTCCCAATCAGAGACAACCAGCAAACAGCTGACACTCGTTGCCTCTGATTGGGAGTCACTCAGGCGAACACAGAAATACGGAACATAGATCTACACACCCTGGCTCAACATAACAGTGTCCCCAGAGCCAGGGCGTGACACATCTATTGTCCTCAGAGGTCCCCATCCGTTTGTTTCATAAAATATTTCATGCAATAAAAAGTCATTTTCTACAGCTAAATTATACCACCACTTCTGATGTATGAAAACACCTTACAAACTATGACATTAATTTGAACTCTCACATTTTTTCTGGTATTATATCTTCATCACCATCATCACCATCCCACCTACCTACTAAGCCTGCCATGGTGGGGCTGGCCCCCAGGGCCTTCACATGGTGACTCAGCAGGGGAATGATCATGCTCACCCCAAACAGGTCCTGGTGAGGAGACAGAGAGACGGAAGAGAACGCGAGAGAGAGAGAGAGAGAGAGAGAGGAGAGAGAGGAGAGAGAGATAGAGAGGAGAGAGAGAGGAGAGAGAGAGCGAGAGAGAGAGCGGCGAAGAGAGAGAGAGAGGAGGAGAGATGAGAGAGAGAGCGAGAGAGAGAGAGAGAGAGAAGAGGGAGAGAGAGTATAGACTGAGTGACCTCAGCAGGTGTTATTTTCAGTTCGAACACTGTTGAGCTACAGTAACGACACAGTCATAGACAACACATAAACAACAACCACAACAAACAACAACCACAACAAACACCCAGGAAAAAGGTTGTAGTGGGGAAATGTAAGGTGAATGAAGTTCTTATTCAGTTTAGAATGATTAACACAATGCTTAGCATATTTATGTTTTCTCTTCTTGTAACACATGGTCTCCAGTGTTCTATATGTGACACTCATTTGTGTACTGGTTGATGGTCACTAGACTTGTCACTGACTGCTATGGATTGTTCTCATTTCCTTCGATAGTGATTGACGCAAGAGCTCCTGAAGGCACAAGGACTGAGGACACACTGATTGTTATTGTACTGATGACATTATGAACACTGTGTAATTCTGTAGCAGGTGGCAAAATCACTGTCTTTTGTTTTGACTTCGTACAAGCCTCTCGAGGTGATGTTAAGAGAACATTTGGTCTGATTGAAGGTTATTAGAATAAATGAAAACTGAAACAAAAACGAATCATCAAAAAACGATTTAGTAAACTGAAATTAAACAATTAACAAACCCATTTGAAAAACTAAAACTATACTGAAACTATTATCTTTGACTCCAAAACGAACTAAAATAAAAAACCATCATGATTATGTTCAGTTTTAGTTTTTGGGGGCAGAAATCGAATTAGGTTTTGAAGCTTTTTTCTGATGGGATTTTCAAACTTCTGAATCTGGCGGGTCACATTGAGATTTACTTGATAATTTAAAAGTAGATTCAGCGAGATGGTGTTGCCAAGAGCAGCACCCAAGATATTGGGCATGTTTGAGTGGTAAAAATATATCACCTGACTGTAGAGAAAATCGAGGACTGAAGTCGGGGGAGGTGCATCTGCGAGAGCCGAAAGTCAGACACTAATGTGGTTTTCCAACAGCAAGGCTCAGATCAACATGGCAGTGTTGCCATTGTTTATAAAAGGTTTTCTTTATAATGTCGAAATAAACATGTATCTAACCCTTATATCACACAATCACAAACTGAAATCATAATATAATATTATGTGTGTACACATTGTACAATCAATTAGTGAGAGAGAGCCTCATATCAGATTTATTTGTATACTGTATGTCCACTGTAAACATAAATCAAGGCAATTTGGTTCCTGTTTCCCGTCATGTCTTTGGTCACGTTCGCATGGGTCAAACAGAAACACCATTATGATTGGTTAACAACAGAGCCTCCCACAATGGCTGCAGGAGGAAGTTGGTGAAGGGCAGAAACTTGCAGTCGACTGCAGTGAAAACTTCATGACCTTTGATCACACCATTTTTTACAAGTTCATGCAGTCTGTGGATGCGTTAGAGCCACTTTTGTCAATCGGGTCACCACCTTTGCATCGGGATAACAATTGTCTGACTTGTGCCTACATGTCGATTACATGAACGTTACAAAAATCATGCGATGTATGTATCAATATTGATGTTACTTAAATTGATGTTACACAGGAAACGGAAACGAGTTGGGACTTACTGTATGAATGTGCGGGTTGACAACATGCCTAGTAAAGTTTGCTTAACTTTATATCTTTGTCTGTCGTGACTACAACGCAAAGCATATTGAAACATGGTGGCAGCGGTACTCAAAATAACCTGGATCTCATCGATGTAAAGGAAGAATACGTCCCAGGCGGCAGTTTGAAAAAGTGCCGCGCTTACAGGCTAGTCATCGCGCCGAAACGTTAACGTTAGCTAGCTATCGTATCCAATAGCTAGCTGGATTTTGGATACAAGCAGATTCGTGAGTAGCTAACGTTCCATTCTAAGAATAAATCGCCATGGACTGAAACCTCCGGGAAAAATAGACTTTGATGATTGTAATTTAGCACTGACCTGGAAAAGATGGAGAGAGGAATTCAATTTGTACATGGCTCTTACAATGAGAGAAAAACCTGAGGATTACAAAGTGAAGCTACTGTATTATCTCATTGGGGGAAAAGGCAGAGAGATTTGTGATACTCTATGCGTGGGCAGTACAAAAGACAATCTCTCTGTTGAGGAAGTAATTGCAGCACTGGATGCATTTTGTGAAAAATGAAACAATTGAGAGATATATTTTTTTTATGCAAAGTCAGGGCCAAGATGTGTCACGATCGTCGTAATAAGTGGACCAAGGCGCAGCGTGATATGCGTACATCTTTTAATGCGTACTTTGCACACTACAACAAAACAACAAAACGAAACGTGAAGTTCTCGGTCATACAACACAAACCTAAACGGAACAAGATCCCACAAATGACAAGTGCACAACAGGCTGCCTAAGTATGGTCCCCAATCAGAGACAACAAGACACAGCTGCCTCCGATTGGGAACCACCCCGGCCAACACAGAAACACACGATCTAGAAAAGAACACATAGAAAACAAAACATAGACACTACACATAGAAACTAACACCATGGCTCAACATATAAGAGTCCCCAGAGCCAGGGCGTGACAGTACCCCCCCCCAAAGGCGCGGACAGCGACCGCGCCAACTAAACCCAACAGGGGAGGGGCCGGGTGGGCATTCCGCCTCGGAGTCGGATCCGGCTCCGGGCGTGACCACCACTCTCTAACTACCCCCCCCGTAGCGCCCCTGGTCTGGTCCCGCTGGCTGGAACTGGACTGGACATCGGTGGAGCGGATTGCTTAGGCTCCGGTGTGGAGCAGCTGACCGGTACCTGACCAGGCACCGGTGGAACAGGCACGGGCTGTGCCGGACTGATGACGCGCACCACTGGCTTGGTGCGGGGAGCAGGAACGGGCCGGGCCGGGCTGACGACGCGCACCAATGGCTTGTTGCGGGGAGCAGGAACGGGCCGGACCGGGCTGACGACGCGCACCACTGGCTTGGTGCGGGGAGCAGGAACAGGCCGGACCGGGCTGACGACGCGCACCACAGGCTTGGTGCGGGGAGCAGGAACAGGCCGGGCTGGCGACGCGCACCACAGGCTTGGTGCGAGGGACAGGAACAGGCCGGGCCGGGCTGGCGACGCGCACCACAGGCTTGGTGCGAGGGGCAGGAACAGGCCGGGCCGGCGACGCGCACCACTGGCTTGGTGCGGGGAGCCGGAACGGACCGGGCTGGACTGGGAACACGCACCATAGGCTTGGTGCGGGGAGCAGGAACGGGCCGGGCCGGGCTGGCGACGCGCACCACAGGCCTGGTGCGAGGGGCAGGAACAGGCCGGGCCGGGCTGGCGACGCGCACCACAGGCTTGGTGCGAGGGGCAGGAACAGGCCGGGCCGGGCTGGCGACGCGCACCACTGGCTTGGTGCGGGGAGCCGGAACGGACCGGGCTGGACTGGGAACACGCACCATAGGCTTGGTGCGGGGAGCAGGAACGGGCCGGGCCGGGCTGGCGACGCGCACCACAGGCTTGGTGCGAGGGGCAGGAACAGGCCGGGCCGGGCTGGCGACGCGCACCACAGGCTTGGTGCGAGGGGCAGGAACAGGCCGGGCCGGGCTGGAGACGCGCACCACTGGTTTGGTGCGGGGAGCAGGAACAGGCCGGACCGGGCTGTGGAGACGGACTGGAGGTCTGGAGCGAAGAGCTGACACAACCCATCCTGGCTGAATGCCTATCTCTACACACTCTGTGTGAGGCATCAGCACAGGACGTACAGGGTTGTGCACTCGTACTGGCACTACAGCACGTGGCACTGGCGCAGGATATCCGGGACCGAGGAGGGGTACTGGAGGCCACGAGCGTTGAGCCGGCACACTCCGTCCTGGCTGCATGCCCACCTTCGCACGACACGTGCGTGGTGCTAGCACAGGACGTACAGGACTGTGCCGGACCACTCGCGGCACAGTATGCAGCTCCGCAAACCTCGGAACCTGCCCAGTCTCACGCTGCCTAGCCTGAGTACGGGGAGTTGGCTCTGCTCTACCTCTAGGCTCCGCCAACCTCCCTTCCAGCCCCCCAAACCCGGTGGCCTCCTCTCCTAATCCGCCGATACGCCCTGTAGCTGCCTCCAGCAGCCCCGTCGTCCAAGCCGTGTGCCCCCCCAAAAAAATTTATTGGGGTTGCCTCTTGCGTGTCCGACGTCGGCACGGTTGGCGCCGCTGCTCCTCTCTATGGCGCGCCTCCACAGTCTCTTCCCACGGACGGCGATCCATTCCGGCCTGGATTTCCTCCCATGTCCAGGACCCCTTCCCGTCCAAGATCTCCTCCCAAGTCCAGGCTGTCTGCTCCTGGACACGCTGCTTGGTCCTTATTTGGTGGGATCTTCTGTCACGATCGTCGTAATAAGTGGACCAAGGCGCAGCGCGATATGCGTACATCTTTTAATGCGTACTTTGCACACTACAACAAAACAACAAAACGAAACGTGAAGTGAAGTCCTCGGTCATACAACACAAACCTAAACGGAACAAGATCCCACAAATGACAAGTGCACAACAGGCTGCCTAAGTATGGTCCCCAATCAGAGACAACAAGACACAGCTGCCTCCGATTGGGAACCACCCCGGCCAACACAGAAACACACGATCTAGAAAAGAACACATAGAAAACAAAACATAGACACTACACATAGAAACTAACACCCTGGCTCAACATATAAGAGTCCCCAGAGCCAGGGCGTGACAAGATGAGAGTTTAGACAAATATCTCACTGAATTGAGGACTCTAGTGGCCTTTACTTTGGTGTAATCACAGACTATCTTATCAGGGACAGGATTGTGTGTGGCACATGTGACCCACACTTAAGAGAGCGCTTACTCAGAGAGACTGATCTCAGTTTAGAGAAATGCATACAGATTGGCAGAGCTGCAGAACTGTCCAGACAGAGAGATAAAGTCATAAATGTGCAGGGCCCTGTAGCAGTGCATGCAGTCACAAAGAAAGAGAGACCGAGAGGGAGAGGAGACCCTACAGAGGGACAGAGCATTATACAATGCAGATACTGTGGACGGACACATGAGAGAAAAAAGGAAAAATGCCCTGCATATGGACAAAAATGTAAATCCTGTGGAAAAAACAATCACTTCTCTACGATTTGCAAAAGTGCAGGGACCAGCAATGGAAAATGCGTTAGCTGACTCAGAGAGCGGTGAGGATGTTCTCTGCATCACACTAGGGCCAAAGTCAGAGAGCATCAACGTGACGCAGGAGAAAACCACAGACCCCAATGCAGCTCTCTTTGCAACCATGCTGGTCAACAAAAAGTCAGTCAGATTTCAGCTAGATTGTGGTGCTAGTTGTAATGTTATCCCTGCAAACCTCATAAAAGCCAGTCACCTCGAGCCCTGCAGTCAGGTGTTGGTGATGTATAACAAGAGTACTCTGATGCCACTGGGGAAGTGCACACTTAAAGTGATCAATCCACGCAATAAGAAAACCTACCGAGTTGAGTTCATCGTAGTCAACAAGAATGTGCACAGGCCCATTCTAGGCAGTAAGGCTATCCAGGCAATGGAGTTGATTACTGTGCAGCATCACAACATCCTGGCCATCGAGAAAACAACAGGATCCTGGACTAAAGAGCAAATTAAACAAGAGTACTCTGATGTATTCCAGGGAGATGGATGCTTACCCGGCAAACTGAAGCTGGAGGTGGTTGAGCGAGTGGAGCCCGTCCATCTGCCAAAGAGAAGAGTGCCAGTAGCACTATATAAACCACTCAGAGAGGAGCTCAGTGGTCTAGAGAAAAGAAGGACGAAAAAAGCAGTTGAAAAAAGCACAGATTGGATTAGCAGCCTGATCGTAGTGAAGAAACCGTCTGGAAAACTAAGAGTGTGCATTGATCCGAAACCTCTCAACAAGGCGCTCAAGAGGAGCCATTACCCACTTCCCACTATTGAAGACATGCTGCCAGATCTGAACAGAGCACACGTGTTCTGTTTGTGATGTAAAACATGGATTTTGACATGTGGAACTGGAGGAGGAATCCTGCTATCTCACCACGTTCTCTACTCCCATGGGATGCTACAGGTGGCTGCGCATGCCACGGAGCTCTGCGAGCCACTGCGACAGCTAACACACAAGGACTCATTGTGGGAGTGGTCAGAGAGACATGAGCAGGCTTTCAGTAAAATCAGGGATACCATTGCACAGACCCCTGTGCTGAAATACTACAACCCAACAGAGCAGCTTGTACTACAGTGTGATACTTCAGAGAGTGGGTTAGGAGCAGCCTTGATGCAGGGAGGACAACCAATAGCATACGCCACCAGAGCCCTGACAGAGACTGAAAAAGGGTATGCACAGATAGAGAAGGAGCTGCTTGCAGTGGTGTTTGGCATGGAGAGGTTCCACCAATTCACATATGGACGAACTGTGGAAGTGCAGTCAGATCACAAGCCTCTAGAGAGCATCATGACAAAGGCTCTCCTCAGCGCACCAAAAAGACTACAACGCATACTCATGAGACTCCAAAACTATGAGGTCAGTCTCCGCTACGTTCCGGGAAAACATGTGGTTCTGGCCGACACCCTGAGAACAAGACCTCACAGAACAAGACAACAGAGGCCCTGTGGAGGTCGAAGTGGAATCAATCAATATGATACACTACCTCCCTGTGTCAAGCGAGAGACTAAAGCACATCCAGAGAGTCACTGAGCTGGACCGGGAGCTCCAGACACTGAAAAATGTGATTCTGCAGGGTTGGCCTGAAGTGAAAGGACATGTACCCTTGGAAGTAGCCATTTATTTTCACAACAGAGATGAGCTGAGTGTGCAAAATGGAGTTATCTTCAGAGGTGAGCGAGTCGTTGTGCCTACTGCCCTCAGGTCAGAGATAATGCAGAGAATCCATTCCTCACACATAGGAACAGAGGGATGTCTGAGAAGAGCTTGCGAGTGTGTCTACTGGCCAGGCATGAATGCACAGCTGAGAACATACATGGCACAATGTAGCACCTGCACGGCATGGGGTATGAAGCAGCAGAAAGAAACGTTGAGGCCCCACGAAGCACCAAAGCGTCCCTGGGAAAAAATAGGGACTGACCTGTTCCAGTATACGACAGAGACTACATGGTCACAGTTGATTATCTCTCCAACTTCTGGGAAGTGGACCATTTGGAGAACACACAGTCGAAAACGGTCATTCGAAAACTGAAGACACACTTTGCACGCTATGGGATACCTGACATTCTTTACTCAGACAATGGTCCCCAGTACTCTTCAGACGAGTTCCGAAGTTTCAGCAAGGCTTGGCACTTTACACACAAAACATAGTCTCCAGGATACCCGCAAAGTAATGGGAAAGTGGAATCGGCAGTGAAAACAGCCAAAAGCAAAGAGAGCAGGTGCTGACCCATACCTGGCCATGCTGGATCACAGAAATACCTCGTCACAAGGAACAGACAGCAGCCCTGCAATGGTGCTCATGGGAAGACGTACAAAGACACTACTTATAATGAGTGAAAATCTTCTGAGACCGGGGATGGCAAACTGTGAGCTGGAGAAGTTCAAAGAAAGACAGCAGAAACAGGCGAAGTACTACGACACCTCTGCTAAGGATCTCACAGAGCTGCAACGAGATGACAGGGTGAGAGTTCAGCCACTCACAGGACAGAAACACTGGTGGCAGAGGGCCACAGTAGTCAGACCAGTGGAGCAAACGTCCTATGAGGTGAAGACAGAACAGGGACAAGTCTTCAGGAGGAACAGGCGACACCTGAGGAAGAGCAGAGAAATAGAGGATGATTTCCCCACTGTTGAGGAGCCTGGCACAGAGCCAGTAAACAGAGCACCAGCTGATGCCCAGCAGGTTGCTGAACACAACCTAGAGGTGGACGCTCCACCTCAACAAGAAGATCCAAACATCTCAGGTCAAGCACCTCCTGATGTAATCAACACTCCCCACACAAGGTCTGGTAGGGCCATCCGAAGACCTATACACCTGAAAGACTTTGTGGGAGGGTAAAAATAATAAGAATTAATGGACAGTCAGAGACAGTAAACAAACATTCAGTTCACATTCCAGTTTATTGCAGACATGGACTACAAGCCAAAGTTAGGTGGAGTCTGCCTTTGTTGTAAAAAAAATAAAAAAATAAAAAGAAGGGAACATGTATCAATATTGATGTTACACAGGAAACGGAAACCAGTTGGGACTTACTGTATGAATGTGCGGGTTGACAACATGCCTAGTAAAGTTTGCTTAACTATATATCTTTGTCTGTTGTGACTACAACGCAAAGCATATTGAAACAATGTACACACACATATTTTCAGATTGCGAGTGTGTGATATGGGGGTTGGAGACATGTTTATGTCGACGTTATAAGCAACATCATTTTATTTTATAAACAATGGCAACACTGCAGTTGGTTGCTTTCACCTTACCTTTTATCCCCAGAATGCAAAACACTTTGAAAGGCGGTGACCCGAATTGAGATGAGCACTATGCAAGAACTCGCAAACAGAGTATCTGCACATGTGCACGGGGGCGCTTCTTGCTGCTACAACGTGGTAGTTACGGGACCAAAACAGCAGAGAAGTTTAGCCTCGCACTCCTGGCTGTTGCAGAAATTGACCCACTACCACTGTTTACTTCGTGCATCTACGTCATCTCGCGCTATCTCGCTACGTCAACCTTTAAACCTAACCTAATCTATGAGCTGACCCATCACCTAATGGTATTATTGCCCCACAGAGGCAAGAAGTGCCAAAAAACACAAAACACACAAAAAATAAAAAACATAATCTACAAATAAATGTCTCCTTCTTTCTGTCCCTAACAATAAAACTGAAACGAAATAATATAAAAACGAAAAATAAATGTTTTTATAGAACTTAAACTCAATTAAAACTAGTGAAGTAGATCTGAAACTAAACTGAATTTCTAATTAAAATCTTAAAACTAATAGAAATAAAAACTACTATAAAAACAAAAAACTATAATAACCTTGGTCTGATTAGATATAAAAGGCATGTCTCCAAGAGGCCTGTTAGACATTTTCTATGCTTCTGTTCTGGAGGTGACTCCCTGAATTCTTGTAATAAAACAGATTGACTTTATCACTGACTGCTTTTGTTCACCTGGAAATTCCCATTACACAGGTGAATGACAACTGACCACTGAAGTCACACAAGCCTTTACTCTGTAACAATGTCACCATAAAAACATTTTCAAAACAAAATTTGACTATGGAGGATGTTTTACTGCGAAACAGAAGAGTATCATCAGAGTATCGTGATCATCAGAGGTTGACCTGTCAATGGCCAATGAAAACACAGTCAAATGAAGGGTTGAAATACTCTGCCCTGACAAATCACCCTTTCTAACATACAGCATGCATCAAAGTTATGCTACCATCTGCTTTAAAATGTCCAAACAGATTATGAAGGGTGGGGTTCACAAACGCTGCAATTTATATTCAGCACGGTTATGATGCATTAGAGCACGGATCATCAACTAGATTCCACCGCGGACCGATTTTTTCTTGAGCGGATGGTCGGAGGGCTGGAACATAATTACAAATAATTTGTAGAATGCTAATTGACCGCAAAAAGCCCAAACAGATATAATATTTGACTAAAATTTAATCATTTCAAACCTTGCTTACATTTGTAAACAATCACGTGTCTCTCTATTATGCGTGGGAATACTTTGGAACAGATTTCCAAAATAAAAATCCCTTGGAGCAGATTTCCTGGTGTTTTTACAGTCTTTTATCTTCATTCAAACCGACAATGAGTGAATCAAACACCGTGAAGCAACTGCAAGACAAACCACCATTGTTGTTAGAGATATACAGTGAGGGAAAAAAGTATTTGATCCCCTGCTGATTTTGTACGTTTGCCCACTGACAAAGAAATGATCAGTCTATAATTTTAATGGTAGGTTTATTTGAACAGTGAGAGACAGAATAACAACAAAAAAATCCAGAAAAACGCATGTCAAAAATGTTATAAATTGATTAGCATTTTAATGAGGGAAATAAGTATTTGACCCCCTCTCAATCAGAAAGATTTCTGGCTCCCAGGTGTCTTTTATACAGGTAACGAGCTGAGATTAGGAGCACACTCTTAAAGGGAGTGCTCCTAATCTCAGTTTGTTACCTGTATAAAAGACACCTGTCCACAGAAGCAATCAATCAATCAGATTCCAAACTCTCCACCATGGCCAAGACCAAAGAGCTCTCCAAGGATGTCAGGGACAAGATTGTAGACCTACACAAGGCTGGAATGGGCTACAAGACCATCGCCAAGCAGCTTGGTGAGAAGGTGACAACAGTTGGTGTGATTATTCGCAAATGGAAGAAACACAAAAGAACTGTCAATCTCCCTTGGCCTGGGGCTCCATGCAAGATCTCACCTTGTGGAGTTGCAATGATCATGAGAACGGTGAGGAATCAGCCCAGAACTACACGGGAGGATCTTGTCAATGATCTCAAGGCAGCTGGGACCATCGTCAACAAGAAAACAATTTGTAACACACTACGCCGTGAAGGACTGAAATCCTGCAGCGCACGCAAGGTCCCCCTGCTCAAGAAAGCACATATACAGGGCCGTCTGAAGTTTGCCAATGAACATCTGAATGATTCAGAGGAGAACTGGGTGAAAGTGTTGTGGTCAGATGAGACCAAAATTGAGCTCTTTGGCATCAACTCAACTCGCCGTGTTTGGAGGAGGAGGAATGCTGCCTATGACCCCAAGAACACCATCCCCACCGTCAAACATGGAGGTGGAAACATTATGGTTTGGGGGTGTTTTTCTGCTAAGGGCACAGGACAACTTCACCGCATCAAAGGGACGATGGACGGGGTCATGTACCGTCAAATCTTGGGTGAGAACCTCCTTCCCTCAGCCAGGGCATTGAAAATGGGTTGTGGGTGCGTATTCCAGCATGACAATGACCCAAAACACACGGCCAAGGCAACAAAGGAGTGGCTCAAGAAGAAGCACATTAAGGTCCTGGAGTGGCCTAGCCAGTCTCCAGACCTTAATCCCATAGAAAATCTGTGGAGGGAGCTGAAGGTTCGAGTTGCCAAACGTCAGCCTCGAAACCTTAATGACTTGGAGAAGATCTGCAAAGAGGAGTGGCACAAAATCCCTCCTGAGATGTGTGCAAACTTGGTGGCCAACTACAAGAAATGTCTGACCTCTGTGATTGCCAACAAGGGTTTTGCCACCAAGTCATGTTCTGCAGAGGGGTCATATACTTATTTCCCTCATTAAAATGCAAATCAATTTATAAAATTTTTGACATGCGTTTTACTTTATTAATTTTTTTGTTATTCTGTCTCTCACTGTTCAAATAAACCTACCATTAAAATTATAGACTGATCATGTCTTTGTCAGTGGGCAAACGTACAAAATCAGCAGGGGATCAAATACTTTTTTCCCCTCACTGTATTCTGCTCTGTGGAAGGAGATGAACTAGGGACCTAAATGTACCAGTTATCTAGCCTGATGGTTAGTGAGTGTAGCCTACAACAAAGAGAGTTCTGGGCCTGAGGAGAGAAATAGACACTCTCCCACCCTGTTTATCTGTCTCCAGAGAGGCTCTTGCCAGAGACTTGATTGAAGTCATACTGTAGCTCCTGCTGTGTCGCGGCCCTACCCATTAAACTGACTGTTCAATTCAACTCTTAACTCTACATTCAAACTGGGACCAAACATACAGTGTGTGGGAGTTAGTGCATGCATGTGTGTGTGTGTGTGAGAGAGAGAGACAGACAGAGACAGATGAGAGAGAAGAGAGAGAGAGAGGAGATGAGAAGAGATCGAGAGATAGAGAGGAGAGAGAGAGAAGAGAGCGAGAGAGAGAGAGAGAGCGAGGAGATAGAGATATAGAGCAGCGATAGAGATAAGTATCGATAGAGAAGCGCGATATCTCCTCTCTAGCCTCTATCTCTCGCTCTCGAATCGCTCTCGTCATCTCTCCTCCTATCTCTCTCTCTCTGCTCTCTCTCTCATGTCTTCTCTCTCTCCTACTCTTCCTCTCTCTGCATCTCCTCTCGTCTTTCTCTCGCTCTCCCCTCTTCTCTTACTCTCTCTCCGTGCTCCTCCTACCTCTCGCTTCTCTCTCCTCTCTCGTTCTCTCTCCTATCTCTCTAAGATGGATGCTCCTCTCTCTCACAAGGGATTAGGCTTTGGGTGAAAATGTTTTTGAGACACTCTGTAGCATTCACTTCTATACTCATTATCTGGATAGCATTACACATAAAACATTTACCATACTGTCTTCAAAAATATCTGTATTGCTCCAATTCTGTGAGTTTAGAGTAAGTGTGTGTCCAAACCACATACGATTCAATAAACCTGAAGTCAGTCTAATCCTGTACCACAGGATATGCATTTATATTATATTTAAGCAATAAGGCCCAGGGAGGTGTGGTATATAGCCAATATACCACGGCTAAGGGCTTTTCTTATGCACGACGCAACGCAGAGTGGCTGGATTGGACATATACCACAAACCCCCAAGGTGCCTTATTGCTATTATAAACTGGTTACCAACGTAATTAGACGAGTAAATACTACTTTTTTGTCATACCCATGGTATACAGTCTGATATACCACGGATTTCAGCCAATCATCATTTAGGGCTTGAACCATCCGGTTTATAATACGTTTTACAGAGTCAGTCTGATGTTCTTGTGAACACCCTGATCTTCTCAGAATAACAAGTCCTTCAGAGCAAAACACTGATTTCCAAGGAATGGATTCTGTTGGACAGGTTTTTTTTGACAGTGCTGTGATGGGACTCAACCTGCCTCTTATAACTAGTTGGATCAACATTAGAATGACAGGCTGCTGAACAATCCAGTAATGCATCTTTTGGCAAATGCAGGCACAATGTTTAATACATTTGATATTGTGGTAGCCTGCAGGTCAGGGTCTCAAATTTCATATATGATGGAACCGCCTAAACCAGAATAAATATTTTACATAGTTTAAAGCACCTAATGTCATGATATAGCCCTTATAATGTTGGTAAACGCCAACAGTTTAAAAAACTGATGTCAACAGCAAGCATTTGCCTCAACTATCAGGTTCAATGTCCAATGTGAGCACTGCTCTCTCTCTCTCTCTCTCTCTCTCTCTATTCCTTTTAAGAACGTTTTTTAAGATACACTATGTTGCAAAAAATCTAATAGTCAAATTTCTGTTTATGTGACAAAATAAGCAAGTATAGTGTAGAGAATCATTGTACCATCTAAACTGCTGTGAAATATATTTTCCATAACCAAAAATATTGTATTTTCAGCTATTTGAAGCTGGTGTACAAAGCAGAAAGTAAAAGATGCAAAAACTAAACTTATGTTAATAATGCTCATAGAACCGATCTACCGATTCTTAGACTTGCTTTCAATGGCAATGACATATCTACAACTCATATTTCTATGTGAATTTGGTCGGGTCGCCCAAAAAGTTACATATTTAAAACGTGACTGCAATACCAAACATGTTAAATGTAGCCTTAAAAAAAGGTTACAATGTTGCACTTACCATGAACCCCACCACATAGATACATTGTATAATCCGTGTTCGTCTCCTTGGTATCTGATTTAATATGCTACATGTTGCGTTATTCATTCTCCCGCCCTGACAGCTCGTTGATGGTCAATGCAGAAGCGCTACAGTGCGGATCAACCATAACAAAGAACACCCTGCAGTTCCTGGAATATTCGCTCTCTTCAGGAGTGTTCGTGTTCGATTTAACTTCCAACCACCTCAATTAAATCTGTTGAGGATGTGCCGATATTGTCATATTTGGCAGAAAATAGCCTACATTTAATCAAAGTGGATTCATTGACGCGTCATGTGGATGACTGACCTGCTGGCGTCTCGTCTCTTCGCATTTGGCACACCGAGAGATCTACCAGGTGGTATCGACCTGACGTCAGGCAGTAAGCCAAGCGTTGTATTTAAAAGCTGTTAGTCACAAGGGCCATATATACAGTAACTCCCTCAGCAAGACTCAGCTTGATAGAATAGAATAGAATCTATTGTTCAATTCTGGACTCTATGTTATTCTGCATACATTCTGTGTCACTTGTTAGTCTATTCCTAGAAAACATTAAACCGCTGTAGTTTACAACAATTATAGTTTCTGAGGTGGAAGTTGGGAGAGTTATAGTTGGGTGTTTCAGTGAAACGTAAGTGAGGGAGGCCCCGCTCTCTCGCTTTCCCTGATGTTTAGTTAATTTCATTCTTTGCATTGTTGTGGCCATTTTCTGTAGCCTGTCAACTATGTGTCTGTCTATCCCTGTTCTCTCCTCTCAGCACAGGCTATACAAACGCCTCACACCGCGTGGCTGTTGCCACTCTAATCTGGTGGTCCCTGCGCGCACAACCCACGTGGAGTTCCAGGTCTCTGGGAGCCTCAGGAACTGCCGTTCTGCGGCCAACAAGGCAGAGTTCATCTCAGCCTATGCTACCCTCCAGTACCTCGACTTCTTGGCGCTGACGGAAACATGGATTACCACAGAAAACACTGCTACTCCTACTGCTCTCTCCTCGTCTGACCATGTGATCTCGCATACCCGAGAGCATCTGGTCAGCGGGGTGGTGGCACAGGAATCCTCATCTCTCCCAAGTGGACATTCTCTCTTTCTCCCCTGACCCATCTGTCTATCTCCTAATTTGAATTCTATGCTGTCACAGTCACTAGCACATTCAAACTTAACATCCTTATCATTTATCGCCCTCCAGGTTCCCTTGGAGAGTTCATCAATGAGCTTGACGCCTTGATAAGTTCCTTTCCTGAGGATGGCTCACCCCTCACAGTTCTGGGTGACTTTAACCTTCCTACGTCTACCTTTGACTCATTTCTCTCTGCCTCATTCTTTCCACTCCTCTCCTCTTTTGACCTCACCCTCTCACCGTCCCCCCCTACTCACAAGGCAGGCAATACGCTTGACCTCATCTTTACTAGATGCTGTTCTTCTACTAATCTCACTGCAACTCCCCTCCAAGTCTCCAACCACTACTTTGTATCCTTTTCTCTCTCGCTCTCCTCCAACACTACTCACTCTGCCCCTACTCAGATGGTAATGCGCCGTCGCAACCTTCGCTCTCTCTCTCCCGCTACTCTCTCCTCTTCCATCCTATCATCTCTTCCCTTTGCTCAATCCTTCTCCCTCCAATCTCCTGATTCTGCCTCCTCAACCCTCCTCTCCTCCCTTTCTGCATCCTTTGACTCTCTATGTCCCCTATCCTCTCGCTCCTCCCCCTCCCCCCTCCTCCCTGTCTGTGGATGACTTCATCAACCATTTTGAAAAGAAGGTTGACGACATCCGATCCTCGTTTGTTAAGTCAAATGACACCGCTGGTCCTGCTCACACTGCCCTACCCTATGCTTGACCCTATCCCCTCCTCTCATCTCCAGACCATTTCCGGAGACCTTCTCCCTTACCTCACCTCGCTCATCAACTCATCCTTGACCGCTGGCTATGTCCCTTCCGTCTTCAAGAGAGCGAGAGTTGCACCCCTTCTCAAAAAACCTACACTCGATCCCTCCGATGTCAACAACTACAGACCAGTATCCATTCTTTCTTTTCTCTCCAAAACTCTTGAGCGTGCCGTCTTTAGCCAACTCTCTTGCTATCTCTCTCAGAATGACTTTCTTGATCCTAACCAGTCAGGTTTCAAGACTGGTCATTCAACTGAGACTGCTCTTCTCTGTGTCACGGAGGCTCTCCGCACTGCTAAAGCTAACTCTCTCTCCTCTGCTCTCGTCCTTCTAGACCTATCTGCTGCCTTTGATACTGTGAACCATCAGATCCTCCTCTCCACCCTCTCCGAGTTGGGCATCTCCGGCGCGGCTCACTCTTGGACTGCGTCCTACCTGACAGGTCGGTCCTACCAGGTGGCGTGGCGAGAATCTGTCTCCTCACCACGTGCTCTCACCACTGGTGTCCCCCAGGGCTCAGCTCTAGGCCCTCTCCTATTCTCGCTATATACCAAGTCACTTGGCTCTGTCATATCCTCACATGGCCTCTCCTATCATTGCTATGCAGACGACACATAATTAATCTTCTCCTTTCCCCCTTCTGATAACCAGGTGGCGAATCGCATCTCTGCATGTCTGGCAGACATATCAGTGTGGATGACGGATCACCACCTCAAGCTGAACCTCGGCAAGACGGAGCTGCTCTTCCTCCCGGGGAAGGACTGCATGTTCCATGATCTCGCCATCACGGTTGACAACTCCGTTGTGTCCTCCTCCCAGAGTGCAAAGAGCCTTGGCGTGACCCTGGACAACACCCTGTCCTTCTCCGCTAACATCAAGGCGGTGACCCGATCCTGTAGGTTCATGCTCTACAACATTCGCAGAGTACAACCCTGCCTTACACAGGAAGCGGCACAGGTCCTATTCCAGGCAATTGTCATCTCCCGTCTGGATTACTGCAACTCGCTGTTGGCTGGGCTCCCTGCCTGTGCCATTAAACCCCTACAACTCATCCAGAACGCCGCAGCCCGTCTGGTGTTCAACCTTCCCAAGTTCTCTCACGTCACCCCGCTCCTCCGCACACTCCACTGGCTTCCAGTTAAAGCTCGCATCTGCTACAAGACCATGGTGCTTGCCTATGGAACTGTGAGGGGAACAGCACCTCCGTACCTTCAGGCTCTGATCAGTCCCTACACCCAAATGAGGGCATTGCGTTCATCCACCTCTGGCCTGCTGGCCCCCCTACCTCTGCGGAAGCACAGTTCCCGCTCAGCCCAGTCAAAACTGTTCGCTGCTCTGGCACCTCAATGGTGGAACAAGCTCCCTCACGACGCCAGGACAGCGGAGTCACTCACCACCTTCCGGAGACACTTGAAACCCCACCTCTTTAAGGAATACCTGGGATAGGATAAAGTAATCCTTCTACCCCCCCCAAAATAAATAAATAATAATAATAATAATTGTAAAGTGGTTGTCCCACTGGCTGTCATAAGGTGAATGCACCAATTTGTAAGTCGCTCTGGATAAGAGTGTCTGCTAAATGACGTAAATGTAAATGTAAATGTAAAAATGTAATATGACTGCATAAACGTGTCATTACTTAAATAGTTAGTGTGATAAAGTAACGTGTCTCACAGCCGAGGGAGATGGCAGGCGCTGGACAACAGTCTTTCATGTAAAGCCAGGTGTTTTATTTACAGCATGGTGTTCAGTGTTCAGCAGTCAGCTTGAATACATACAAATAGATCCAGAATACTAAGAATAACCTAGAATAAACTTTTATAGTAAAACACTATTCTCAGTGTAGTACGGCTATTTACCTTTGAGCTGCACTTGCTGAAAAAGGACATGTTTTGACTGTGCAAGGCTGGCGCAAAGCCACATCATCACAGGTAGACGGACTGATTATAAAAGGCATTAATAGTATGCAATAGGCCTATAAAGGCTTTTGTTTGTGATGGGTTAAATATAGATAGATGGGGATGTTTTGTGGTTGCTTCTACTCCACCTACTGGGTGTGGCTGGAACATTAAATGCTTCCCCTTCTCACTACGCGTTCCACTTCTCTAGCATGTCCTTCGTCGCAGAGATGTGCTCGCAGTCTTATCACTGGCATGTCTCACGCTATTCTAGCAGATAGATGAGGGCATTCCTTTCCTCACGCTCGTCCTCTTCAGGCCCTCACTTATCCGCTCTAATGTAGGGACTACACACACACACACACACACACACATACACACACACACACACACACACACACACACACACCATGTGGGAATGCTAAGTCCGCCTCTGTTTATTGACTACAGGCCTACCGGAATTTTGTTTACCCATGGTTCCCAATGGGACTAAAGGGGTGTGGAGGGTGAATATCAGGGTGCTTCTGTATGTACTGTGTTGATTTACAGTAGAACAGCTGAGACACAGGGCCGGACTACCGCATTTGGGGCCCCAGGGGATTATATATACACTACATGACCAAAAGTATGTGGACACCTGCTCGTCACCTGCTAGTTGTTCCCCCCTTTGCTGCTATTTTATATTTTTACATGTTAATCATTTAGCAGACGCTCTTATCCAGAGTGACTTACTATTAGTGAGTGCATACATTTTTCATACTATAACAGTCTATAACAGCCTCAACTCTTCTGGGAAGCTTTTCCACTAGATGTTGGAACATTGCTGCGGGGACTTGCTTCCATTCAGCCACAAGAGCATTAGTGAGGTCGGGCACTGATGTTGGGCGATTAGGCCTGGCTCACAGTCGGCGTTCCAATTCATCCCAAAGGTGTTCGATGGAGTTGAGGTCAGGGCTCTGTGCAGGCCAGTCAAGTTCTTCCACACCAATCTCGACAAACCATTTCTGTATGGACCTCGCTTTGTTCACGGGGGCATTTTCATGCTGAAACAGGAAAGGGCCTTCCCCAAACTCTTGCAGCTGCTTGGCCATGGAAACCCTTTTCATGAAGCTCCCGACGAACAGTTCTTGTGCTGACGTTTCTTCCAAAGGCAGTTTGGAACTGAGTGTTGCAAGGACTGAAGATTTTTACGTGCTGCACGCTTCAGCACTCAGCGGTCTCGTTCTATGAGCTGAGCCGTTGTTGCTCTTAGACGTTTCCACTTCACAATAACAGCACTTACCGTTGACAGGGGAAGCTCTAGCAGGGCAGAAATTTGACAAACTGACTTGTTGGAAAGGTGGCATACTATGACGGTGCCACGTTGAAAGTCACTGAGCTCTTCAGTAAGGCCATTCTACTGCCAATGTTTGTCTATGGAGATTGCATGTCTGTGTGCTCGATTTTATACACCTGTCAGCAACGGGTGTGGCTGAAATAGCCGAATCCACTAATTTGAAGGGGTGTCCACATACTTTTGTGTATATAGTATAGCTTCAAATTCATTGCTGTACACAATATTGAATCACATTTGATGAGTTACTGACTTGTCCGTCCACAGGCTTGATCTGCAGTAGTCTCTACAACTGGACACTTGCGCTCGGATCACACTGGCACAGGATGTCCATGCACCGGAAAGCCTGAGGGATGCACTCCTGTTGGACTGGATAACAAAGAGACAGTTGGTCAGTGGTGGGTCTTTTTCAATGCTGTATCAACATCTTTATCTGGACAGAAAATAAATGCATTGATGATCATAACACAAACCCACCTTGGACAATGTGACAAGTGGTTCCTCAACACCCAATCCTCATGTCTCATTGTTTGTTCTTGTTTCCCAATCAACAGCTACTTCTCTGATGAGTGGGTCTTGGAGGTTTACAGGTACACAGCAAGTCTGCACCAGCACATTACTATAGCAACGCAGATAAGGTGGGATGAATCTCAGGATTTTTTAATATTTTAGTCGAGCATTTGCCCTCTCAACATGGATCCTGTTTCTCGCTATTTATTTTGTGAAAAGTATCTCACTCTCTGTAAACCTTCCGTGGTTCAGGAATGGAGGAATGTTCACAGTAACTTCTGTAGGCATCAAGTTCTGGATCAAGAAGCCTTTGTCTGCCAAAATCATGTCTCCAGACGTGAAGATCTTCTCAAACCCCGACTTCTGGACAATGGCTTTGTCCGATATAGATCCTGGATACAGATCACTGCTCTATGGTATCACCGCATTAGGTGCAACTCCCAAGAGTAGTTTGAAGGTGTGCATTGAACGGTACACAGAGTAGATTTGCTTCTGCAGATCCATCTGACTTGGAGTAGCAGTCCTGTTTCCATCCTAAGAACTTTATCAGACAGCTGCGATGCTGAATACCTGTTGCAGGTATACAGCTGATTATCCTGTAAAACCTTCAACTGCGCTAATGTTTCCTCAAGATGGACATCAGTGAGAACATTCTGCAACTGTGCCGGCATTCTTCAGCGGCCGAGGGGCCTGGAACTTCATTGTCTGCCATGGTGGATGAGTCTGGATCCTCCTCTTCTGCCATGGTGGATGAGTCTGGATCCTCCTCTTCTGCCATGGTGGATGAGTCTGGATCCTCCTCTTCTGCCATGGTGGATGAGTCTGGATCCTCCTCTTCTGCCATGGTGGATGAGTCTGGATCTTCCTCTTCTGCCATGGTGGATGAGTCTGGATTCTCCTCTTCTGCCATGGTGGATGAATAAAAAATCCACCCCAGACCACTCCTGTGACAGTGGGGAGAGTGTGTGCAGCAGGCACCTTCAATCAGCCCCCCAAAATATCACAGGGGGAGGGATCCACGCCACTGTCAGTTTCCTGACTGTCTCGTCCAGCCCAGCCCAGTCCATTCCTGTCCTCAGCAGCCCACAAACAGAGAAGATAGGAGCCAGGATAAGACCACTGTTGGACAATACACAGCAAAGTGGTATTCCACTGTGGAAGAAGAATCGTAGCTTGGAATATATTGCAACACTGGGAATAGTTGATTGGCCCGAGGGTCTCCATACAGTGACTGTCTGTCTGGCCAGTACTGCACCATGAAGCTGAGTGTGGCTCTGTTCTTCGCGGGGCTGTTTGGGGCTCTGGCGGCCGTGTTTGTCCTCCTCTCCTTCGGGACGGATTACTGGCTCCTGGCTTCGGAAACATGTGACAAAGAATCTAACGGAACTATGGGACCTGGGGGCGTCGCCATAGAGGTAAGGATCACTTTATCCCTACCTGTATGTACATATCTACCACAATTACCTCGTACCCCTACACATCAACTCAGTACTGGTACCCCATGTATATAGCTAAGTTATCGTTACTCATTGTGTATTTATTCCTTGTGCCATTATTTTTTAAATTTTTCTATAATTTATATTTTTCTCTCTGCATTGTTGGGAAGGGCCTGTAAGTAAACATTTCACTGTTAGTCTACACCTGTTGTTTACAAAGCATGTGACAAATACATTTTTATTTTATTTTAACATGGACCTTTCTGATTACCATAATGAGATCTGTTGTGGTTTTTATGCTTCAAATATTGTAGTCCAATTTTACTTAGTATTTACTATAGCCCACTAATTACCTGTGTAGTAATCATGAAATAAGTATTTACTTTTTGGTGTTATTGTGATTCATTGAAACAGGCAGCTCTACAGCAGGTAGAAACAGCAGGTGCAAGCAAGCAAGGCAAGGTGTGGCCTCTTGGATGTTCCCTATCCTGGTCCTCCTGTCTCTTCATATCTGTGGTCATGAAAGACAAAGGCGCTGAGGAAGGTAGCCATTGGTGTAATATTGGGGGTAACATTGGATAAGACTATTGTCTTGTTTTGTATTTGCTGAATTGAGGGTTAGGGGTTAGGGGTCAGCGTTTGTCTGGGAGGGTCAGCTGGTCAGGGACTGAGGTGAGCCATGGAGGTCAAGGCGAGTTGTTCCTATTCTGGTTAAAGTCTTCTTAGAGGAAGTGGTGTCGGGGTCAAGGTCTAACACGGTGTGTGGTCCAACGCACCTGATTCCACCAATCAAAATGTCCACCCCTGTGTAGGCCTCTGGTATATATGACTACCTACTGTAGGGGCTGCTAGTGAAATAAGACACTTTTCAATGCAGTTGCTCTTCAACCATCCAGCGATTGAGATATATTGGATTCCCAAGTGATAGAAATACAAATGTCAGTATTTACAACCCCCAATGACATGGAGTTGAATATCAAATATCACCCACTATAGCAGATCCAGGTTGTCACGATAATAATAATAATAATATAATAATATGCCATTTAGCAGACGCTTTTATCCAAAGCGACTTACAGTCATGATGAGCAATGACACAGAAATGTCTGCATGATATCAACACTATCAAACCACAGACACTGTATATAATATACCCTGTACAGTGGGGGAAAAAGTATTTAGTCAGCCACCAATTGTGCAAGTTCTCCCACTTAAAAAGATGAGAGAGGCCTGTAATTTTCATCATAGGTACACGTCAACTATGACAGACAAATTGAGAAAAAAAAATCCAGAAAATCACATTGTAGGATTTTTTATTAATTTATTTGCAAATTATGGTGGAAAATAAGTATTTGGTCACCTACAAACAAGCAAGATTTCTGGCTCTCACAGACCTGTAACGTTTTCTTTAAGAGAATCCTCTGTCCTCCACTCGTTACCTGTATTAATGGCACCTGTTTGAACTTGTTATCAGTATAAAAGACACCTGTCCACAACCTCAAACAGTCACACTCCAAACTCCACTATGGCCAAGACCAAAGAGCTGTCAAAGGACACCAGAAACAAAATTGTAGACCTGCACCAGGCTGGGAAGACTGAATCTGCAATAGGTAAGCAGCTTGGTTTGAAGAAATCAACTGTGGGAGCAATTATTAGGAAATGGAAGACATACAAGACCACTGATAATCTCCCTCGATCTGGGGCTCCACGCAAGATCTCACCCCGTGGGGTCAAAATGATCACAAGAATGGTGAGCAAAAATCCCAGAACCACACGGGGGGACCTAGTGAATGACCTGCAGAGAGCTGGGACCAAAGTAACAAAGCCTACCATCAGTAACACACTACGCCGCCAGGGACTCAAATCCTGCAGTGACAGACGTGTCCCCCTGCTTAAGCCAGTACATGTCCAGGCCCATCTGAAGTTTGCTAAAATGCATTTGGATGATCCAGAAGAGGATTGGGAGAATGTCAGATGAAACCAAAATATAACTTTTTGGTAAAAACTCAACTCGTCGTGTTTGGAGGACAAAGAATGCTGAGTTGCATCCAAAGAACACCATACCTACTGTGAAGCATGGGGGTGGAAACATCATGCTTTGGAGCTGTTTTTCTGCAAAGGGACCAGGATGACTGATCCGTGTAAAGGAAAGAATGAATGGGGCCATGTATCGTGAGATTTTGAGTGAAAACCTCCTTCCATCAGCAAGGGCATTGAAGATGAAACGTGGCTGGGTCTTTCAGCATGACAATGATCCCAAACACACCGCCCGGGCAACGAAGGAGTGGCTTCGTAAGAAGCATTTCAAGGTCCTGGAGTGGCCTAGCCAGCCTCCAGATCTCAACCCCATAGAAAATCTTTGGAGGGAGTTGAAAGTCTGTGTTGCCCAGCGACAGCCCCAAAACATCACTGCTCTAGAGGAGATCTGCATGGAGGAATGGGCCAAAATACCAGCAACAGTGTGTGAAAACCTTGTGAAGACTTACAGAAAACGTTTGACCTGTGTCATTGCCAACAAAGGGTATATAACAAAGTATTGAGAAACTTTTGTTATTGACCAAATACTTATTTTCCACCATAATTTGCAAATAAATTCATAAAAAATCCTACAATGTGATTTTTCTGGATTTTTTTTCTCATTTTGTCTGTCATAGTTGACGTGTACCTATGATGAAAATTACAGGCCTCTCTCATCTTTTTAAGTGGGAGAACTTGCACAATTGGTGGCTGACTAAATACTTTTTTTCCCCACTGTATATACCCATGTAGTAGCAGTGCCATGCACACTCCTACACATAGACATATAATTTTTCCATGGGAACATCAGTGTTCTGTCCTAAAGAGAGAGAGAGATAGAGAGAGAGAGAGAGTGAGAGAAGAGGAATAGAGAGAGAGAGAGAGGCAAGATGAGAGTAAGAATTATATTCTCCCTTATTCCAGGCATCATGCAGCGCATCTCCTTTTCAGGGTACAGTGTCTTTCCGATGGATACACGTACAGGACCTGTCACCATTGCATCGTGCCTGCTCCCGCGCCTGGGTAGAGGCTGGAGCCTCGAGAACGAGATGGCACTCGGCCCGTGGCCTAGGCTCTCTCGAGCCTTGATCGTCTCGCGCAGTTTGCTGCTGCCCGTTTGGGCCTCTTGCCGCCCTGGCCCTCTGCCGCCCTGGTGCCTCTGGTCGCACGGGTCCTCGCTCTCCCGGGCACTGCGGCGCGGGTGCACGGCTGAGAGGGGTCCTCGAGATCGGCCTGTGATCCTCGGCGCACCGATTGGCTCGCTACCGGGTGTTTCGACTGCATCGGCGCGATTGGGCATCGGCCGCCGGGGGCCTACGCGGAGAAAGGGGGAATAGGTAGGAGGAACAGGGGGAACGGAGGAGAGAAAGGGGGAATAGGAGAGAAAGGGGGAATAGGAGAGAAAGGGGGAATAGGAGAGAAAGGGGGAATAGGAGAGAAAGTGGGAATGAGAGCAGCTGTTCTAGTGAGTAGAGAGGTCTCTCCATGCTGTCTCAACAAACTTCTCACAACCCCACAGGAAGTTAAGGGTGCTCCCTCAGTGTGGCCCTTGACTTTAGAGTCACCAGCTTTAGCAGTAGCACTACATACTCTGACAACATTCACCTGAACCAGCTGGCGTGGACATGACATGACACACATGACATTATGGCTAATGTTACAGTGGTACTTCGTGGGGCTGAGAAGTCAATAGCTGATTCACTATGTATTTTCTAAGAAAATAAGAGGTCAAATGTGAAGAAGAAGATAGAACAAGAAGTTTATGATGTGTTATTATGTCATTGTTATAACTGTAACATGAAGGCCTTATGATGGAGTGTTCTACTAATGTGTTACCATTATTATCTTCCCCCCAGCGTGGTGACATGATTCTGGTGAAACCCGGTATGGGGTTCCCCCCAGACACCACCTTCTACCACAAGGGCTTCTTCTGGAGGTGCTCCTTCGGGGGCAACCTGGACGACCACACCATCTTGAAGTTCTGGATCAGTAAGTCAGATAATACTTCACTACTTGTATAAAGTAGAACACTGGGGTATTGGCCGTGCTCAATATGCGCCACTCCTCACTTTCCTTCTCTCTCTCATTGGTCTTTCACTCCACTCTCCACTTTCCCTCTCTCTCTCATTGGTCTTTCACTCCACTCTCCACTTTCCCTCTCTCTCTCATTGGTCTTTCACTCCACTCTCCACTTTCCCTCTCTCTCTCATTGGTCTTTCACTCCACTCTCCACTTTCCCTCTCTCTCTCATTGGTCTTTCACTCCACTCTCCACTTTCCCTCTCTCTCTCATTGGTCTTTCACTCCACTCTCCACTTTCCCTCTCTCTCTCATTGGTCTTTCACTCCACTCTCCACTTTCCCTCTCTCTCTCAATGGTCTTTCACTCCACTCTCCACTTTCCCTCTCTCTCTCATTGGTCTTTCACTCCACTCCTCCCACTTTCCCTCTCTCTCTCATTGGGCTTTCACTCCACTCCCACTTTCCCTCTCTCTCCTCATTGGTCTTTCACTCACTCTCCACTTTCCCTCTCTCTCTCATTGGTCTTTCACTCCACTCTCCACTTTCCCTCTCTCTCTCATTGGTCTTTCACTCCACTCTCCACTTTCCCTCTCCTCTCTCATTGGTCTTTCACTCCACTCTCCACTTTCCCTCTCTCTCTCATTGGTCCTTTCACTCCACTCTCCACTTTCCCTCTCTCTCTCAATGGTCTTTCACTCCACTCTCCACTTTCCCTCTCTCTCTCAATGGTCTTTCACTCCACTCTCCACTTTCCCTCTCTCTCTCATTGGTCTTTCACTCCACTCTCCACTTTCCCTCTCTCTCTCATTGGTCTTTCACTCCACTCTCCACTTTCCCTCTCTCTCTCATTGGTCTTTCACTCTATCCTATTGCTTTCTCTCATTTACATGTTGGCCAGTACAGGGCCAGTATGAAACAATGCAAACAATTCACGACAGCAGAGAGGAAGAGGCGAAGCGAGAGGTTTCACTCCCGCCAAAATCTGTCCAAAATAAACCCAATGCGTTTCTATTCGGACAACCAGTGGTGGAAAAACTACCCAATTGTCATACTTGAGTAAAAGTAAAGATACAGTGAGGGAAATAAAGTATTTGATCCCCTGCTGATTTTGTACGTTTGCCCACTGACAAAGAAATGATCAGTGAGAGACAGAATAACATAAAAAAAATCCAGAAAAACACATGTCAAAAATGTTATAAATTGATTAGCATTTTAATGAGGGAAATACAGTGGGGGAAAAAGTATTTAGTCAGCCACCAATTGTGCAAGTTCTCCCACTTAAAAAGATGAGAGAGGCCTGTAATTTTCATCATAGGTACACGTCAACTATGACAGACAAATTGAGAATTTTCTTTCCAGAAAATCACATTGTAGGATTTTTTATGAATTTATTTGCAAATTATGGTGGAAAATAAGTATTTGGTCACCTACAAACAAGCAAGATTTCTGGCTCTCACAGACCTGTAACTTCTTCTTTAAGAGGCTCCTCTGTCCTCCACTCGTTACCTGTATTAATGGCACCTGTTTGAACTTGTTATCAGTATAAAAGACACCTGTCCACAACCTCAAACAGTCACACTCCAAACTCCACTAGGGCCAAGACCAAAGAGCTGTCAAAGGACACCAGAAACAAAATTGTAGACCTGCACCAGGCTGGGAAGACTGAATCTGCAATAGGTAAGCAGCTTGGTTTGAAGAAATCAACTGTGGGAGCAATTATTAGGAAATGGAAGACATACAAGACCACTGATAATCTCCCTCGATCTGGGGCTCCATGCAAGATCTCACCCCGTGGGGTCAAAATGATCACAAGAACGGTGAGCAAAAATCCCAGAACCACACGGGGGGACCTAGTGAATGACCTGCAGAGAGCTGGGACCAAAGTAACAAAGCCTACCATCAGTAACACAGTATGCCGCCAGGGACACAAATCCTGCAGTGCCAGACATGTCCCCCTGCTTAAGCCAGTACATGTCCAGGCCCGTCTGAAGTTTGCTAGAGTGCATTTGGATGATCCAGAAGAGGATTGGGAGAATGTCATATGGTCAGATGAAACCAAAATATAACTTTTTGGTAAAAACTCAACTCGTCGTGTTTGGAGGACAAAGAATGCTGAGTTGCATCCAAAGAACACCATACCTACTGTGAAGCATGGGGGTGGAAACATCATGCTTTGGGGCTGTTTTTCTACAAAGGGACCAGGACGACTGATCCGTGTAAAGGAAAGAATGAATGGGGCCATGTATCGTGAGATTTTGAGTGAAAACCTCCTTCCATCAGCAAGGGCATTGAAGATGAAACGTGGCTGGGTCTTTCAGCATGACAATGATCCCAAACACACCGCCCAGGCAACGAAGGAGTGGCTTCGTAAGAAGCATTTCAAGGTCCTGGAGTGGCCTAGCCAGTCTCCAGATCTCAACCCCATAGAAAGTATTTGGAGGGAGTTGAAAGTCCGTGTTGCCCAGCGACAGCCCCAAAACATCACTGCTCTAGAGGAGATCTGCATGGAGGAATGGGCCAAAATACCAGCAACAGTGTGTGAAAACCTTGTGAAGACTTACAGAAAACGTTTGACCTGTGTCATTGCCAACAAAGGGTATATAACAAAGTATTGAGAAACTTTTGTCATTGACCAAATACTTATTTTCCACCGTAATTTGCAAATAAATTCATAAAAAATCCTACAATGTGATTTTCTGGATTTTTTTCTTCTCATTTTGTCTGTCATAGTTGATGTGTACCTATGATGAAAATGACAGGCCTCCTTCATCTTTTTAAGTGGGAGAACTTGCACAATTGGTGGCTGACTAAATACTTTTTTTCCCTACTGTAAGTATTTGACCCCCTCTCAATCAGAAAGATTTCTGGCTCCCAGGTGTCTTTTATACAGGTAACGAGCTGAGATTAGGAGCACACTCTTAAAGGGAGTGCTCCTTATCTCAGCTTGTTACCTGTATAAAAGACACCTGTCCACAGAAGCAATCAATCAATCAGATTCCAAACTCTCCACCATGGCCAAGACCAAAGAGCTCTCCAAGGATGTCAGGGACAAGATTGTACACCTACACAAGGCTGGAATGGGCTACAAGACCATTGCCAAGCAGCTTGGTGAGAAGGTGACAACAGTTGGTGTGATTATTCGCAAATGGAAGAAACACAAAAGACCTGTCAATCTTCCTCGGCCTGGGGCTCCATGCAAGATCTCACCTCGTGGAGTTGCAATGATCATGAGAACGGTGAGGAATCAGCACAGAACTACATGGGAGGATCTTGTCAATGATCTCAAGGCAGCTGGGACCATAGTCACCAAGAAAACAATTGGTAACACACTACGCCGTGAAGGACTGAAATCCTGCAGCGCCCGCAAGGTCCCCCTGCTCAAGAAAGCACATATACAGGGCCGTCTGAAGTTTGCCAATGAACATCTGAATGATTCAGAGGAGAACTGGGTGAAAGTGTTGTGGTCAGATGAGACCATCATCTCAACTCGCCATGTTTGGAGGAGGAGGAATGCTGCTAAGGGGGCAGGACAACTTCACCGCATCAAAGGGGCGATGGACGGGGCCATGTACCGTCAAATCTTGGGTGAGAACCTCCTTCCCTCAGCCAGGGCATTGAAAATGGGTCGTGGATGGGTATTCCAGCATGACAATGACCCAAAACACACGGCCAAGGCAACAAAGGAGTGGCTCAAGAAGAAGCACATTAAGGTCCTGGAGTGGCCTTGCCAGTCTCCAGACCTTAATCCCATAGAAAATCTGTGGAGGGAGCTGAAGGTTCGAGTTGCCAAACGTCAGCCTCGAAACCTTAATGACTTGGAGAAGATCTGCAAAGAGGAGTGGAACAAAATCCCTCCTGAGATGTGTGCAAACCTGGTGGCCAACTACAAGAAACGTCTGACCTCTGTGATTGCCAACAAGGGTTTTGCCACCAAGTACTAAGTCATGTTTTGCAGAGGGGTCAAATACTTTTTTCCCTCATTAAAATGCAAATCAATTTATAACATTTTTGAAATGCGTTTTTCTGGATTCTTTTGTTGTTATTCTGTCTCTCACTGTTCAAATAAACCTACCATTAAAATTATAGACTGATCATGTCTTTGTCAGTGGGCAAACGTACAAAATCAGCAGGGGTTCAAATACTTTTTTCCCTCACTGTACCTTAATAGAAAATGACTCAAGTAAAAGTGAAAGTCACCCAGTAAAATACTACTTGAGTAAAAGTCTAAAAGTATTTGGTTTTAAAAATACTTAAGTATCAAAAATAAATTTAATTGCAAAAATATACTTAAGTATCAAAAGTAAAATTACAAGTATAAATCATTTCAAATTGCTTATATTAAGCAAACTTGACGGCATATTTTCTTGTTTTTTCAATTTACGGATAGCCAGGGGCACACTACAAGACGCAGATGTCACGATGTCGGTGTATGCGGTAGACTGAAGTCAGGCGCAGGACACAGAATTCAAGGGAAAAACGTAACTTTACTAAAGCTCGTAAAGAAACAAGAAGCCTCCACGCAGGGAGGAATAAATCCGCTCACCAATGACATACGAGTACAAGCAACAAACACGCACAGAACACAATGGGAGCCACAGAGTTAAATAGGGGCGGAGTAATCACAAGATGGGCAACAGGTGTGAAACAATCTGACACAACAGGTAGAACATAGAAAATAGATCGGCAGCAGCTAGTACTCCGGTGACGACGAACGCCGAAACCTGCCCGAGCAAGGAGGAGGGGCAGCCTCGGCAGAATCCGTGACAGTACCCCCCGACGCGCGGCTCCAGCCGTGCGTCGACACTGGCCTCGGGGACGGCCAGGAGGACGCGGCGCGGGGCGAGTGGGATGATTGCGGTGGTAATCCCTCAACATGGATGGATCGAGGATATCCCTCCTAGGAACCCAGCACCGTTCCTCCGGACCGTACCCCTCCCACTCCACGAGATACTGCAGGCCCCCCACCTGACGCCTCGAATCCAATATGGACCGAACCGAGTACGCCGGTGCCCCCTCGATGTCCAGCGGGGGCGGAGAAACCTCCTGTATCTCCGACTCCTGGAGTGGACCAGCTACCACCGGCCTGAGGAGAGACACATGGAACGAGGGGTTAATACGATAATTAGTAGGAAGTTGTAACCTATAACATACCTCGTTCAATCTCCTCAGGACTTTGAATGGCCACACAAACCGCCGACCCAGTTTCCGGCAGGGCAGGCGAAGGGGCAGGTTTCGGGTCGAGAGCCAGACCCGGTCCCCCGGTGCATACACCGGGGCCTCACTGCGGTGGCGGTCGGCGCTCGCCTTTTGCCGCCTGATGGCCCGCTGCAGACGTACATGGACAGCGTTCCAGGTCTCCTGCGAGCGCCGAAACCACTCATCCACCGCAGGTGCCTCGATCTGGCTCTGATGCCAAGGTGCCAGGACCGGCTGATAACCTAATACACATTGGAACGGAGAAAGGTTAGTGGAGGAGTGGCGGATGGAGTTCTGGGCTATCTCTGCCCAGGGGAGGTAAACCGACCACTCCCCCCGCTGGTCCTGGCAATACGACCTCAGAAACCTACCCACCTCCTGGTTAACTCTCTCCACCTGCCCGTTACTCTCGGAGTGAAATCCTGAGGTCAGACTGACCGAGACTCCCAGACGTTCCATGAACGCCCTCCAAACCCTAGAGGTGAACTGGGAACCCCGATCAGACACTATATCCTCAGGCACCCCGTAGTGAAGGAAGACGTGTGTAAATAGGGCCTCAGCTGTTTGTAGGGCCGTAGGGAGGCCGGGCAGCGGAATGAGGCGGCAGGACTTAAAAAACCGATCCACAACAACCAGGATCGTGGTGTTCCCTTGTGAGGGGGGGAAGATCCGTCACGAAGTCCACCGATAGGTGGGACCATGGTCGTTGTGGAACGGATAGAGGTTGCAATTTCCCTCTGGGCAGGTGTCTAGGAGCCTTACACTGGGCGCACACCGAGCAGGAGGAAACATAAACCCTCACGTCCTTAGCTAAGGTGGGCCACCAGTACTTCTCACTAAGACAGTGCACTGTCCGACCGATACCAGGATGACCAGAGGAGGGTGATCGCGGACATCAAGCGGTACGTACACACGACCCTCTGGACACTGGGGAGGAGTGGGTTCACTGCGCAATGCCCGCTCGATCTCTGCGTCAACCTCCCACACCACCAGTGCCACCAGACACGACGCCGGAAGTATGGGAGTGGGCTCCACGGAACTCCCCTCTGAGTCATACAGTCGGGACAGAGCATCTGCCTTAGCGTTCTGGGAACCTGGCCTGTAAGAAAGGGTGAAAACAAAACGGGTGAGATACATGGACCACCTTGCCTGGCGAGGGTTTAACCTCCTCGCTGCCCGGATGTACTCCAGATTGCGGTGATCAGTCAAAATGAGAAAAGGGTGTTTAGCCCCCTCAAGCCAATGTCTCCACGCTTTCAGAGCTTCGACCACAGCCAACAGCTCCCGGTCCCCCACATCATAGTTGCGCTCCGCCGGGCTGAGCTTCTTCGAAAAGAAGGCACAGGGGCGGAGTTTAGGTGGCATACCCGAGCGCTGAGACAGTACAGCGCCTATTCCAGCCTCGGATGCATCCACCTCAACCGTGAAGGCTAAATAGGGGTCCGGATGAGCCAGCACTGGAGCCGAGGTAAACAGGTCCTTCAAATTATTAAAAGCCCTGTCCGCCTCCGCTGACCACTGCAGACGCACCGGCCCCCGCTTCAGTAACGAGGTAATGGGAGCTGCTACCTGACCAAAGCCCCGGATAAATCTCCGGTAGTAATTAGCAAAACCCTAAAATCGCTGCACCTCCTTTACTGTGGTTGGAGTCGCCCAATTACGCACGGCCGAAATGCGGTCACTCTCCTTCCTCACCCCTGACGCGGACATATGGTACCCCAAGAAAGAGATGGACTCCTGGAAGAACAGGCATTTCTCTGCCTTAGCATACAGGTCATGCTCCAACAGTCTTCCAAGCACCTTACGCACCAGGGACACATGCTCGGCACGTGTAGCAGAGTATATAAGGATGTCATCAATATACACCACTACCCCTTGTCCGTGCAGGTCCCTGAAAATCTCATCCACAAATGATTGGAAAACTGAAGGAGCATTAACCCGTATGGCATGACCAGATACTCAAAATGTCCAGAGGTGGTGCTAAATGCCGTCTTCCACTCATCTCCCTCACGGATACGCACTAGGTTGTATGCGCTCCTGAGATCCAATTTTGTGAAAAAGCGTGCCCCGTGCAATGATTCCGTCATACTAGCTGTTAGAGGTAATGGATAGCTGTACTTGATGGTAATCTGATTTAGGCCACGGTAATCAATGCACGGGCGTAACCCACCATCTTTCTTCTTCACAAAAAAGAAACTTGAGGAAACGGGTGAAGTGGATGGCCGAATGTATCCCTGCCTCAGAGATTCGGTGACATATGTCTCCATAGCCGCCTTCTCCTTCTGAGACAAAGGATACACGTGACTCCGGGGAAGTGCAGCTCCTACCTGGAGATTTATCGCACAATCCCCCGGACGATGGGGTGGTAATTTAGTCGCCCTCTTTTTGCTGAAGACGATAGCCAAATCGGCATACTCGGATGGAATGTGCATGGTGGAAACCTGGTTTGGACTTTCCACCGAAGTTGCCCCCAAGGAAACTCCTAAACACCTCCCTGAACACTGACTGGACCATCCCTTGAGAGCCCTCTGTTGCCATGAAATAGTGGGGTCATGAATGGCTAACCAGGGAAGTCCCAACACCACAGGATGCGCAGGAGAATCAATCAGATAGAGGCTAATCCTCTCCTCATGACCCCCCTGCGTCATCATCAGCAGAGGAGCGGTGACCTCCCTGATTATGCCTGACCCTAACGGGCGACTATCTAAGGCGTGAACAGGGAAAGGTTTATCAACAGACACTGTGGGAATCCCTAGGCTACGTGTATACTGGCGATCAATAAAATTCCCAGCCGCGCCTGAATCTACTAGCGCCTTATGCTGGGAATGAGGAGCAAATTCTGGAAACATAATGTCGATACACATATTAGCAACAGGGAACTCTGGGTGAGTCGGGTGCCTACTCACCTGAGACGGTCGACCAGTGCTCTGCCTGCTGCCTCGACCTCCTGAGAAATCTCCCCTGCACCGACCAGCAGTGTGTCCTCTGCGGCCACACTTGGTGAAGGGGACAGTCTCTCTCCCAGTCTCCCTACCTGCAGCACCTCCTAGCTCCATAGGTGTAGGCTCGGAGGTGCTGGGAGATGAAATGGACAGGCCCCCATCAGAACGTCCGTGGGCTGCCAACAGGTTATCCAACCGGATGGACATGTCCACCAGTTGGTCCAGGTTGAGATTGGTGTCCCTGCAGGCCAGTTCCCGACAGACGTCCTCCCTTAAGCTGCAACGATAGTGGTCGATAAGGGCCCGCTCATTCCATCCCGCGCTGGCTGCTACAGTCTTGAACTCCAGCGCAAACTCCTGCGCGCTCCTCATCTCCTGTCTTAGGTGGACCAGACATTCTCCCGCCGCTCTCCCCTCAGGTGGATGATCGAATACCGCCCGGAAGCGGCGGGTGAAATCCGCGTAGCGGACAGTTCTCGAGTCTATATTTCTCCACTCGGCGTTAGCCCACTCAAGCGCCTTCCCCGATAGACAGGAGATGAGGGCGGACACGCTCTCGTATCCCGAGGGCGCCGGGTGAATGGTGGCCAGGTAGAGCTCTACCTGGAGGAGAAATCCCTGGCACCCGGAAGGTGTACCGTCATATGCCCTTGGGAGCGAGAGCCGAATCCCACTGGACCCAGGTGGTGAAGTGGTAGCCAGTGTAGCAGGTGGTGGTGTGGTGGGACATGGTGAAGGGATACCACCTCTCGCCAATCGCTCCATCATCTGGAAAACTCGTTCCATCGTCTCACCGAGATTCTGGAGGATCGTCCCTTGACGTTGGACTCGTTCCTCCATCGTCTCGGTAGATCCAGTCGTTCCTGCTGACTCCATTGTGGTGCGTGTTTCTGTCACGATGTCGGTGTATGCGGTAGACTGAAGTCAGGCGCAGGACACAGAACTCAAGGGAAAAACGTAACTTTACTAAAGCTCGTAAAGAAACAAGAAGCCTCCACGCAGGGAGGAATACATCTGCTCACCAATGACATACGAGTACAAGCAACAAACACGCACAGAACACAATGGGAGCCACAGGGTTAAATAGGGCCGGAGTAATCACAAGATGGGCAACAGGTGTGAAACAATCTGACACAACAGGTAGAACATAGAAACATAGAACATAGATCGGCAGCAGTTAGTACTCCGGTGACGACGAACGCCGAAACCTGCCCGAGCAAGGAGGAGGGGCAGCCTCGGCAGAATCCGTGACAGCAGACATAATTTACAAACGAAGCTTTTGTGTTCAGTGAGTCCTCCAGAACAGAGGCAGAAGGGATGACCAGGGATGTTCTCTTGATAAATGGGTGAGTTGGACCATTTTCCTGTCCTGCTAAGCATTCAAAATGTAACGAGTGCTTTTGGGTGTCAGGGAAAATGTATGGAGTAAAATCTACATTTTTTTCTTTAGGGATGTAGTGAAGTAAAAGTTGTCAAAAATATAAATAATAAAGTAAAGTACAGATACCCCCAAAAAACTACTTATGTAGTACTTTCAAGTATATTTACTTAAGTACTTTACACCACTGGGGACAACGGCTCCAATTGTTAGGGCAGAGACATGAGCACCGCTCGTTTATCGAATGTGACTTCTTGATGCCTTGAAGTGCTACGAGACTCCTATCATGTGATATTATTCCCGGGTCATGTGACTCTGTGGAAAGGCTGCATGTGCTGTTATTCAGTTCCGTTGTCATCTGATGAGACGTGTTGACAGTCATTGTCACAAACACCCTCAAGCTCAGGGAATGACCTGGAGAGAGTCTGCTGAATTCCACAAGGAAGAGGAGAGCGGGCGAGAGGAGAAAGAGAGACGAAACAGAAAAAATAGAGTGTTTGAGTACAAGTTAGATGACATTTCATGCAATTATCAAATGTAATGCATTTGATAGAACGGTAAAACTATGCCAGCTTGTTCTCTGTATAGATCCTACTAGTACATGCTTTGTAATATAAGGGCCCTTGATGAGGAGAGGATAGTTGAATAAATGTTGTTTCCACGTCATTTCAACAAAAATTACATTGAAGCAAAGTGGAAAACTGATTGGATTTGCAAAAGGTAAGGGAATTTCATAATTTTTTTCACCTAACTTTTAACGGATATCCAATGACATGGTGGCATTTTTGGTTGATTTGACGTTTAATTCATGTTAGTTGACAGCTCAACAAAATGTAAATCAAAACTAGACGTTGAACTGACATCTGTGCCCAGTGGGTATAGTTTTGTTGTTGCCGTCATATTAGTAGTATAATATTATATGATTTAATGTATGTAACAATGTGTTTGTTTGTCTCTCACTAGCCAATCAGCCACACGCCAAAGTCTGCACGCACGCCTACCTCTTCCCCTTTCCAGTGTCTCAACAGACTCACAATGCCACTGCATATGACTCTGCAATCAATAAGTGCTTTTCTCTCTGTGTGTGTGTATTATATGTCATTGCATATACAGTGCATTCAGAAAGTATTCAGACCCCTGGACTTTTTCCACATTTTGTTAGGTTACAGCCTTATTCTAAAATAGATTAAATAGTTTTTTCCCCTCATCAATCTACACACAATACCCCAAAATGACAAAGCAAAAACAGGTTTTCAGAAATGTTTGTTAATTTATTCAAAATAAAAAATGGATATATTACATTTACATAAGTATTCAGACCCATTACTCAGTACATTGACATTTTAGTCATTTAGCAGACGCTCTTATCCAGAGCGACTTACAGTTAGTGAGTGCATACATTTTCATACTGGCCCCCCGTGGGAAACGAACCCACAACCCTGGCGTTGCAAGCTCCATGCTCAACCAACTGAGCCACAACCTCCACTCACTATAACAGGGGTTAGACACTACACAGACTCATTTCCTAGAACTTTAAAACACTGGCAGTTTGTCTACTTCACTTCTTTAGTCTACTCTCTGATCACTCCAGATAGCCCAGTGAATAAAACAAATGCTGACAAAATTGGTGTCAAACCATGCAAGTCTGAGTAGCATGGAATAACATACCATCTTATTGAAACAGTTCATCAAGAAACAGTTCTACTGCAACTTTTCATGCACAGTGGGAAGTTGGAACGAACAACAAACTTAGTTAGATAGAACCTGCTCTTACCATGAGAAACAGATTTCCCCATCTTCTCCTCCTCTTCTTCATCTTTAATGTTGACATTCAGCTTCAGTGTTTGACTGCAGTCTTCCAGCTTCACTGATGCCATCTCTGGATCCTGCTTAGCAAACTGGGCTCCACTGTCACAATCAGGACCCACTGACTGTAGGTTTGGACTCAGTGTGGAAGGAGAGAGGCTCGCTGGGTTTGTCCTCACTATTGATGTTACCGGCCTCAGATTTAATTCTAGTCGTCCATGAAAAACAGTACTTTGTTGAAGCACCTTTGGCAGCGATTACAGCCTCGAGTCTACTTGGGTATGACGCTACAAGCTTGGCACACCTGTATTTGGGGAGTTTCTCCCATTCTTCTCTGCAGATCCTCTCAAGCTCTCTCAGGTTGGATGGGGATCGTTGTTGCACAGCTATTTTCAGGTCTCCCCAGAGATGTTCGATTGGGTTCAAGTCCAGGCTCTGGCTGGGCCACTCAAGGACATTCAGAAACTTGTCCCGAAGCGTTGCCTTGGCTGTGTGCTTAGGGTCGTTGCCCTTCTCCCCTGATTGCTCAGTTTGGCCGGGCAGCCAGCTCTAGGAAGAGTCTTGGTGGTTCCAAACTTCTTCCATTTAAGAATGATGAAGGCCACTGTGTTCTTGGGGACCTTCAATGCTGCAGACATTTTTTGGCACCGTTCCCCAGATCTGTGTCTCTACACAATCCTGTCTCGGAGCTCTATGGACAATTCCTTCGACCTCATGGCTTGGTTTTTGCTCTGACATGCACTGTTAACTGTGGGACCTTATATAGACAGGTATGTGCCTTTCCAAATCATGTCCAATCAATTGCATTTACCACAGGTGGATTCCAATCAAGTTGTAGAAACATCTCAAGGATTATCAATGGAAACAGGATGCACCTGAGCTCAATTTCGAGTCTCATAGCAAAGGGTCTGAATACTTATGTACATAAGGTATTTCTGTTTTTTATTTTTAATACATTTGCAAACATTTCAAAAAACTTGTTTTCGCTTCGTCATTATGGGGTATTGTGTGTAGATTGCTGAGGAATTGTATTTATTTAATCAATTTTAGAATAAGGCTGTAACGTAACAAAATGTGGAAAAAGTCAAGGGGTCTAAATACTTTCCGAAGGCACTGTATGTAGCCTACTATGAGATTGTGAGTGTCCACATGTGCTTGTGTTTGTGTATTCAAATTAAAGTCGGCCTCTCTCGCTCTCTCTCTCTCTCTCTGTCTGTCTCTCTCTCTCTCTCTCTCTCGATAGAGAAGTCAGAGAAGTCGAGAATAGCAGAGATCGCAAACACAAAAACGATCCATCAAATAGGCTCCCCCAGAACCCAATCATATATCTCAGATCATCTCTCTCTCTCTCAATATACCCTCTCCTCTCTAGATCTCGCTCTCTCATCTCTCTCTCTCTCTCTCTTCTCTATCTCTCCCATCATCTCTCTCTCTCTCCCATCATCTCTCTCTCTCTCAGTGCATGCTGTGAGTATTTTGTAGTTGAGAGTCCGTGTGGAGGGCTCTGTCCTTACCTATTTTCTTGATTCTTTCAATTTTTATTTTCTATGGTGGAGGGTTAATGGACTGTTAGTTTAGCGATACCCACTGTTTTCTTTTTAAAAGTTAGGGAGGAAGAGGACAGAGTTTGTAGTTTCCTGGGGTTTGAATGGTGTGGTGTGCGTGATGGCTTCACAGCCTAGCGCGGAGGAGACGCTGTCGTTACGGCATGGATTCAGCTGTTCCTGAGAATGGAATTAAGGTGGAGGAGGTTCTGCTCGCGATTGGCGAACAGGTAGGAGCTGAATTTATACATTCCGCATCCACAATGAACAAAGTTGTGGTTGTGTTCATGAAAAAAGCAAATTAGGTGAGTAGGCTCATTGCTAGGGGAATATTTGTAAGGAATGTGTTGGTGCCGATTTTTCCTCTTTCGACTCCTTCGACTCGGGTGGTAGTTGCAAATCTGCCTCCGTTTATTATGGATGATCAAATCCGGAAAGAGCTGAGTTGTTTGCTAGTGGTTCCGTGTACAGGCAGATGCCATTAAGCATGTTGTTTTGTTCCGGAAAGCAAGTGTTCATGTTTCTGAACAACAATGAACAACAGTTAAATGTGCATTTTAAAGTGAGGCATGGGAATGGGCCCTACGCAGGGTTTGTCAGCACAGATAGTCTACGGTGCTTTGAGTGAATTTGGGGCATAAGAGCTTTGCGTGCCCACATAAAGGCCGTAGACAAGGTGAGGGTACAAGCGCCAGTGGGAGAAATCGAGGTCAACGTGCAGGGGGCCATGAGACGCAGGGAGCAGAGGCTGGGCCTAGTCATGCTATAGATGGTGGTGTAGGTGAGACTGGGTCTAGTCATGTTATGGATGGTGGTGTAGCTGAGACTGGGTCTAGTCATGTCATGGATGGTGGTGTAGCTGAGACTGGGTCTAGTCATGTCATGGATGGTAGTCAGGTTATGCTAGTGGATGAGGAGTAGAGTGGGGAAGCGGAAGAGGAAAAAGGGGGAGAAGAAAGGAGGTGGGAGGGGAGAGGCTGGTGTGATGAAAGGCACCAAGGAACCTTTTCCTGGTGCTGGGGGGGGAGGCCCCGACTAGAGAGAAAGGGCAGGTGGTCAGGATGGGAGATGGAGATGAGGAGGAGGAAGGTGAGTCTGAGGAAGAGGAAGATGAGGAGGCTTTCTTTTCAGACTCCTCCTCAATGGGTCCAGAGCTGACAGCCAGTCAGGGAGAGGGGTCAAAGTACACGGTGAGGGAACTGTCAAGTTTCCTGAATGAGACTAAAGGGAAAAAGGTTTATCTTGAAGCTTTTTTTGTGATCCGGGGAAGTTTGTAAGATCAGTACAACACGCTATGAAAATGAGGGGCATGGGTCACAACCGTACGTAAGGTCTACCTTCAGATGGTGTTTAGATGAATAGTTTTTTCAGTCACTGGTGCTATTTGAGCTTTGCTATTGGTCTCTTTCTTTGCTTGCTTTTCTCCCACTTCTTATGGAGACTCTTCGGGTAGGCTCGCTTAATATAAATGCCACCAGAGATGCAGGAAAGAGGAGTCTGTTGGGTGAATATGTAAAACAAAAAAAAGTACAGGTGTTGTTTCTGCAGGAGACGCATAGTGATGTGGTGAATGAAGTCGTTTGGGGGCTCTGGTGGAAAGGGGCAAGTGTGCTGAGCCATGGAACAAATGCTAGTGCAGGGGTGGCAGTCCTTTTTGCACTGTGTCTGGCCGTAAAATTGTGCTCCTCAAAGGAGGTGTGTAGGGGTAGACTGCTTGTAGTAAAAGCAGAAATTAAGAACAGTGGTTTTGTCCTTATAAATATGTATGCGCCTAACACAGGGGGAGAGAGGGGGCATCTGTTTGGGTGTCTTAGACAGGAACTCTCACAGGTAGCGCCCGAGTAGACGCTGGTGGTCGGCGGGGACTGGAACTGTATGATGGATTTTACGAAAGACAGAAATGGGGAGGAGCCTCATTCAGGCTCCGTGGGGGTGTTAAGGGACATCATTAATCAGTTTGACCTAGTGGAAGTTTGGAGAACTAGACATCCCAACACAAGACAGTATACATGAGTGAAGTTCTTTGGGGCTAGGTTGAGTGCAGCCCGACTCAATCGGTTTTACATGTCTAGGAATCAGAGCAATAGGCTGTTGGGCACTATCATTCTCCCGGTGGGTTTCTCTGATCACCACATAACCATAGCTCGGCTGTCTATTTCACCAGGGCCTCGGAAGGCATCCTATTGGAAGTTGAATGTAAAGCTCTTACAAGATGCCACCTTTTGCTCTGTTTCCAGACTTTTTGGGAAAGGTGGGGACAGCGAAGAGAGGAGTATGAGTCTCTGAATCAGTGGTGGGATGTGGGAAAACTCAAAATTAGGCTTTTCTGTCAACAGTATACAGCTCTCTCATCATCAGAGGCTAGGAGAGTATTGGGGGAACTTAAGCGTAGTATCAGTGAATTGGAGGTAGAGCTGGTGGGGCAAGGCAATGTAGGCCTCCAGGCTAATTTAGCTGAATTACGTTGGGACCTGGGCAGTTTTTTCCAGGTTAAAGCAAATGGAGCACTAAGAGCTAGGTTCTCCATGCTCAAGGAGATGGATGCTCCCAGCTCCTTCTTCTTTGGTTTGGTTTGGAAAGACAGAGCGGTGAAGCCAAGTGTATGCATTGTCTACGGCTGTCGGATGGGCGGGTGACCTCTGTGGTGGGGAGATGCGGGAGCGGAGTTTTATGCTGAGTTGTATAGGGCAGAACTGTGTGATCCTATGTGTGCTCAGGTTTTGTTTGCAGAACTCCCTAAGCTCTCTCTGGCACAGAGGGATGAAATGGACATTCCCCTGTTGTCCCATGAACTGGCAAACCCAGATGTCCCCCGGCCGTGCACTGGGGTCGATGGACTCCCAGTGGAGTTTTATAAAAATTCTGGGGAATAATTGGACTGGACTTATTTTGCGTGTTGTGTGAGTGCATCGGGGTAGGAGAGTTGCCGATGAGCTCTGACGGCTCTGACTCTCCTGCCCAAAAAAGGGGACTTGTGTGAACTTAAGAACTGGAGGCCTGTGGCATTGCTCTGTGCGGACTACAATATATTTGCCAAGGTCCTCGCTAACAGACTGAAGTCCCATCTGGACTCTATAGTACACAAGGACTAGACATATTGTGTACCCGGGACGCTCAATCACGGACAACTTGTTCTTAATCAGGGACATCTTGGACTTGTCGAGAGGTTCTAATGTGAACTTTGGACTGGTCTCTCTAGATCAAGAGAAAGCTTTTGACAGAGTGGACCATGAGTATCTGTTTAATGTGATGTCTGTGTTTGGGTTTGGGGAAAGGTTTTTGGCCTGTGTGAAGATGTTGTATGCTGGGGCGTCATGTATGGTCAAGGTGGGTGGGGGGCTCAGTAGGCCAGTCTGGGTGAGGCGGGGCATTAAACAAGGATGCCCTCTATCGGGGCAGTTATATGCACTAGCCATTGAGCCTTTTTTGGGCCTGCTATGCAGGAGACTGCAAGGAGTGTGCTGGACAGGCATGGGTGTGTTGACAGGCATAGCAGTGTAAGCGTATGCAGATTACGTTTCTGTGATGGTCAGGGATGGTCAGGATATGCAGGCACTAGAGACTCGTCTGAAGGTGTACGAGGGAACTTCGTCAGCTAAGGTGAACTGGGGCAAGAGCAAAGCTCTGTCACAGGCAGTGGTGTCAAGACTGGCCAGGTGGAGGTGGCTCCTGTCCCAAGTGTCATATAGAGGGAGGGTGCTGATAATCAACAACCTGGTGGTATCTTCCCTGTGGCATAAAAGGCTGTCCTCAACCCCCCTGCCGGTCTGCTCGCAGACCTGCAACGCAAGCTGGTGGATTTTTTCTGGTCGGGCCATTACTGTCTGAGGGCGGCAGTGTTGTATATGTCCATAAACAAAGGAGGAAAGGGCCTGGTGGAACTGGAGAGCAGGGTGGCTGCATTCCGACTAAAGGCGGCTCAGACACTGCTGTACCATACTGATGTCGGCTGGAGGGAAGCAGCATGCACACTGCTGAGGAGAGCTGGCAGATTAGGGTTGGACCGACAGCTGTTCCTCATGAGGCTGGAGAGGCTGAGTACAGCAGGTCTCTCTGATTTTTACTCTGTGATGCTGAGGGCCTGGCAGCTGCTAAGGCCCACACGAGAAGGGGGTGTGGAGCCTGGGCTGTGGGTGTGGGAGGAGCCTATCTTCAACAACCCAGCCATCCTTTTGAGATAAGTTCAGTCGGCCACCCTGCAGAGGCGACTGATGGCAGCGGGTTTACTAAGGCTGGGTGACCTGCGACTGCTGGGAGAGGAGGGGTGGAAAACCCCGGAAGTCCTGGCACAACAAACAGGACTAACATCTCTTAGGCTGCTGGAGAGATTCCTCGGGGAAGTCCAGGAGGCACTGTCTGAGCCGGTAAAGGGGGGTGTTTGAGCGGCCAAATAGGGAGGGGCCACCAATGTTTCCGCCACTGCAGCTGACGGCAGAGACTGGGGACTGGCAAGGGGGTCTGGAGAACTTGTTAGGTTTTAACCCTTGAGGGGGTGGGAGGTAAAGCCCTCTACAACCTCTGCATTAAGGAACATTAGGAGCCTAACAGGAGTGAAGGCACATCAGTGGCAGGGGGTATGTGGGGCAGAGAGTATGTTATGTTTTAGATGGAGGGGGCTCTACAAACTCCCAGTACCAAGGAGGTCAGGGGACCTCCAGTGGAGGGTTCTACATGGAGCCCTGGCCACAAACAGCTGGTTGGCACGGGTTGACCCGGGAGTTGGACAGGGGTGTCCTTTCTGTGTCATGAGTGGAACTGTGATTAATGTGTTTTCTGTGTGCGCCATTAATGTATCTGTTGGAATGTCTGTGTGAGAGGTTGGGGGTGGAGTTTACTGTTGGGATGTTTTTAATGGGGTACAGGTATTCAAATAAGGAGAATGTGTGTTGTTTAATTTTCTGTTTGCTCAGGCAAGGTTTGGCTAACAAGGAGGAACAAGGTCAAAGGTGGAGGGATAACAGACCCTTTACTATTATTTAATGGCGCGCCTTAGCGTGGAATTTGAGTTCTATAAAATGATAAAAAGTGTGGAGATGTTTCAGGAGATATGGTGTGTCTGTACAGCTGGGGAAGATGGGATGGATATACGGTTGTAGAAGTGGTCAGGTTTTGGTTATTGTGATGTGTGGTGTTGTACTCCCGAGTGGCGCAGTGGTCTAAGGCACTGCATCGCAGTGCTAGCTGTGCCACTAGAGATCCTGGTTCAAATCCAGGCTCTGTCGTAGCGTAGCTCTTATCCAGAGCGACTGGGAGACCCATGGGGCGGCGCGCAGTGTCGTCCAGGTTAGGGGAGGGCAGGGATGTAGCTCAGTTGATAGAGCATGGCGTTTGCAACGCCAGGGTTGTGGGTTCGATTCCCACAGGGGGTATGTAAAATAAAAATGTATGCACTAACTGTAAGTCGCTCTGGATAAGAGCGTCTGCTAAATGACTAAAATGTGTTGTTTTGTATCGTGGGCAAGGTGAAATGAGAATGTATCATTTAAAGAAAGAAAAAGTGAGTCTCTCTCTAACTCTCTCCCGTCATCTCTCTCTCTCTCTCACTCTGTTCCTCTCTCTCTCTCTCTCTCCCTCTGTTTTTTTCTCTCTATCTCCACCTCTCCGCCCACCATTCTCTCTCCCATCATCTCTCTCTCTCTCACACACACCTTTTCACCCTTGCCTATCTCTCTCTCCCCCTCCATCCCCTCAGCTCTGTTCCTGCTGGGTGTGGTGGGGATGTATGTGCTGTGGGTGGAGGGGATGTATGTGGTGCAGGTCTATTTGTCCCACCAGCGCTCCTCTGTGTGTCCCACCTTCGACCTCACCATCCACTACGGCCTGTCCTTCTTCTTCGCCCCCGTCGGCATCTCCTTCTGCCAGCTGGCCGGACTCCTCTTCCTCCTCATTGGCCGGTCCGTACAGATGCAGTACCACTGATTGGTGTTGCCGTGACGATAGGGGGAGGCTTCCGAAACTCTGCAACAAGGTTGGGGCCAATTCCATTTCTGTTCATTTAATTCTGAAAGTCAACTGAAATTCCAATTCCACATTCCTCTCATAGAGAAGCATTGAGGTACATTTGAATTTGAATTTCTGTTTACTTCCTGAATTGACTGAATTGAAAAGGAATTGACCCCAACCCTGATCTGTAACTTCTCTGTGTTCTGTCAATCATCCACCAATAGAATGGGACTGGTTACAGTGACGTGTTTCAGTCACTGCGAGTGTTTGACAACAATGTTTTTATTTTATTTATTTTATGACACCCTGTACCCCTATATTAGTGCACTACTTTTCACCAGAGCCTCTATAGGGAATAGGGTACCATTTGAGACACAGCCAATGCCTAAATTCCTTCACCTGACACCTACAGTACTGGGAGACACATGATTCGTTGGTTGCGGCTGTTGGTGATTTGCTTATGCAGGCTGTCTGCAGTCACATGTCAGATGTTGCCATAGCAGCAAGTAGGAAATTACGATGGTAAGGGATCAGGAGGAGTGTTTTGTTTGTGAATTCAAAATCAAATCAAAACAAATCAAATCAAATGTATTGGTCACCTCCACATGGTTAGCAGATGTTATTGCGAGTGTATTGAAATGCTTGTGCTTCTAGTTCCGACAGTGCAGTAATATCTAGCAAGTAATATCTAACAGTTCCACAACAAATATCTAATACACACAAATCTAAGTAAAGGAATGGAATAAGAATATATAAATATATGGATGAGCAATGTCATTGTCAGAGCGGCATAGGCTAAGATGCAATAGATAGTATAGAATACAGTATATACATATGAGATGGGTAATGCAAGATATGTAAACATTATTAAAGTGGCATTATTAAAGTGACTAATGTTCTATTTATTAAAGTGGCCAGTGATTTTCAAGTCTGTATGTAGGCAGCAGCGCCAATGTGCTAGTGATGGCTGTTTAACAGTCTGATGGCCTTGAGATAGAAGCTGTTTTTCTCTTTGTTTTGGTATCCTTAGTCAAATGGTTTTAGAAGGCTGCTACTGAGTGTGTTGAGGTGTGCTTTAACATAAATGAAGGGCGAACAAGTCACTTTATATGCTGCTCATATATAGATTTTGTTACCACTTTATAAATTGAATACATGCGTATTCCTTTTTCAGTTATTAACTAATTTTGAGAGGAAATGTGAATGCCTCACCATGATAAAAGCATGCTGCGGGAAGAGTTAGAAATAAATCATAGAAGTGGAGATTAGATAATCATAAAGTGATTCATATTAATGATCGGGGCATTTCACTGCATGATTTTAATTTGATTTTGATATTCAGCCTTCTTGACACTGCACTGTGAGTTAGTCCTTATTTTTGGTCAAACAAGTCAATCAGATATCTTAGCGCCTGTAGAGAAAAACGTGTGTTAGAGTGAATGAATGGTTAATATAAGAGCCATATATTTAGAATATATAAATATTCTGTATGGCTCGGGTTAAAATGTTTGAGTAAAGTACTTGTTTGCTTTGTAAATGCACTGAACAAAAATATAATCTCAACATGCAACCATTTCTAAGATTTTACTGAGTTACAGTTCATATAAGGAAATCAGTCAATTGAAATAAATTCATAAGGGCCCTAATCTATGGATTTGACATGACTGGGAATATAGATGTGCTTCTGTTGGTCACAGATACCTTAAAAAAAAAAAGTAGGGGCGTGGATCAGAAACCCGGTCAGTATCTGGTGTGACCACCATTTGCCTCATGCAGCGCGACACATCTCCTGATTGTGGCCTGTGGAATGTTGTCCCACTCCTCTTCAATGGCTGTGCGACGTTGCTGGATATTGGCGGGAACTGGAACACACGTACACGTCGACCCAGAGCATCCCAAACATGCTGAATGGGTGACATGTCTGGTGAGTATGCAGGCCATGGAAGAACTGGGACATTTTCAGCTTCCAGGAATTGTGTACAGATCCTTGCGACATGGGGCCGTGCATTATCATGCTGAAACATGAGGTGATGGCGGCGGATGAATGGTACGACAATGGGCCTCAGGATCTCGTCACGGTATCTCTGTACATTGAAATTGTCATCAATAAAATGCAATTGTGTTTGTTGTCCGTAGCTTATGCCTGCCCATACCATAACCCCACCGCCACCATGGGGCACTCTGTTCACAATGTTAACATCAGCAAACCACTCAACCACACAATGTCTGCCATCTGCCTGGTACAGTTGAAACCCGGATTCATCCGTGAAGAGCACACTTCTCCAGCGTGCCAGTGGCCATCAAAGGTGAGCATTTGCCCACTGAAGTCAGTTACGACGCCGAACTGCAGTCAGGTCAAGACCCTGGTGAGGACGACGAGCACGCAGATGAGCTTCCCTGAGACGGTTTCTGACAGTTTGTGCAGAAATTCTTCAGTTGTGCAAACCCACAGTTTCATCAGCTGTCCGGGTGGCTGGTTATGAGGCCGGTTGGACATACTGCCAAATTCTCTAAAACGACATAGAGAAATGAACATTAAATTATCTGGCAACAGCTCTGGTGGACTTTCCTGCAGTCAGCATGCCAATTGCATGCTACTACAAAACATCTGTGGCATTGTGTTGTGTGACCAAACATTTCAGAGTGGCCTTTTATTGCCCCCAGCACAAGGTGCACCTGTGTAAAAATCATGTTGTTTAATCAGCTTCTTGATATGCCACACCTGTCAGGTGGATGGATTATCTTTGAAAATGAGAAATGCTCACTAACAGGGATGTAAACAAATGTGTGCACACAATTAGAGAGAAATAAGCTTTTTGTGCATATGGAAGATTTCTGGGATATTTTATTTCAGCTCATGAAACATGGGACCAACACTTTACATGTTGAGTTTATATTTGTGTTCAGTGTAGTAGATAATGTATCGAACAAATTAAATTACTACATATGCAGGTTAAAACACGAATAAATTGATCAAATATTATTTGTGAATGTGTTTTTTGGAGGGATTTTATTCAAAATGAAAGTGTAGTTGTTGTGTTTATTACTTGAACATTCACATAACAAAGGCTGATTTTATGATCAAAACATACTCTCTCCTTCAGTGGTTTTTCTGGCTTTTACTCATTCAATCTATTTCAATCAAGAGCCATGAAGTTATCGCAAAGTATTGGGACATGGCGAGGAAATTTATGTTTTGGACGTGACACAGACAGGTATAACCACTGTTCTCTAAACCAATATCCATGTTTTATAATATCAGCTACTGCCTTTTTCTCTTTGGTGGCAGCTGTGCATTTGATTTGGCTAAGAGGATCACCATTACAGAATATTCAAACCCAGACTGTCCCCACCATGCCAAAAGCACTTGGGGGAAAAAACACTAGGTAAACTTAGACACATCTGATGTTTACAATGCCTATTTGAATCTACAGGTGTGCCTCATTGAAAATACCATCTAGTCAAATGTGTCTAATGACTGTCTGTGGCATGGTCTGCCTTGGTCTGTAGTGTGTACAATAGTGTACTCTCAGAGCACCACTCTTCACATCTAGACAGTGCTCTGCTGTAGATGGATGTTCTTCCCAGATAAGGACTTACTGCAGCTATCCAGATCGTCTAACTCACCTGAGACATAGTGAAACTAGAAGGTGCATCGATGGACCCTCCAGACGTCAACTCTTACCATCCCGGCATTATGAACCACAGTACCATGTCTCAGTGGTACGACTGTTGGGAGTGGCCCACCGGTTTGCCGTTCTACCTGGGAGTGGAGGTGTTCAACTGCTTCCTGGGTCTGGTCACTAACAGCTGGTACCTGTGGCTGGTCGCAGGCGGCCCTCAGGTCCAGGTCATCAAGGAGATCTTCGCCCTCAACCTGTCCGTCATGGAGCTCCTCTACTGCCTTATTTCACCACTGACCGTCTTCAACATCCTCTTCATCAAAAGCCAGACCATCTTCCAATTCAGCAGCTACACGTTCGGCTTGGTCAGCGCCGGCCGCCCTCTGCTCCAGTGCTTTATCTGTGTGGAGCGCTACCTGGCGGTGGTCCACCCACTGCTCTTCCTGAAGTACAGGCCTCTGAGGTACAGGGTGATGTGTGCGACTCTGGCTTGGCTGCTGTCTCTCGTCTTTTGTGTTGTGATTGGCTTAATAAACGGCGTGATAGTCAACGCCGGCGTTTTCTCAATCACTCTGGCCATCGACTTCTTCTGCTGTGTTTCCATCCTGAGGGTGCTGGGCAGGTCCGGTCCGGGGGATGGAGGGAAGGAGAGACAGGGGGAGAAAGAAGAGGGAGGGAACCTGATGAAGAGAAGAGCGTCCCGTACCGTTCAGGTCATTCTGCTGACTCTGCTGGTGAATTACACTCCTTCCATCGTCGGAGGTGTCCTGGTTCGTTGTCTCCCTAATGGTTCAGTGACAGCGTTGTGCGTCGTGGTTCCTATCACTTTGATGTTTACTGTTTTGGGGAGCTTCACTCAGCCCCTTCTCTACCTAGCTAGGGCTGGAAAACTACCCTCCATCTGTTGGAAAAGAGAGGGATGATAGCCCTACTTTGGAGGAAAGGTTGTCTGGTTAAATTGTATTTATGAACACAAACAAACAGAAACAACACTGTTTTTGAGTGACATTAATGATAGATACAGATGTAGGATCTTAATTTGAGCCAGTTTGCTACAGCAGGAAAATAACAGTAAATGTGAATTACTATGTGGATTATAATGGATGAACATTTTTTGTATGGGTTGATAAATTTTTCGTTAGGGCAAATCAAGTCTGACATTTTAAAGTGGAAATTACAAACGTTAGAAGCCTTTCTAAACCTTCAATAGACTACACATTTGCATTTCCTGCTGTGAAGGAACATTCTCAGCCACAAAAGAGTGATCAAATGAAGATCCTACATCTGTACCCATTGATTCTCAAAGAATATAATAATATAATAATAATAATATGCCATTTAGCAGACGCTTTTATCCAAAGCGACTTACAGTCATGTGTGCATACATTTTTACGTATGGGTTGGTCCCGGGGATCGAACCCACTACCCTGGCGTTACAAGCGCCATGCTCTACCAATTGAGCAACAGAGGACCTTAGTTCAACTGTGTTACTCCATCAGAACCTAATAAAAAGCATGAGCTGGCGCACACCCAGAGAAAATGATTTAGTGTAGAGGTGCTGACTAACGGGGAATAAACTGTAAGCTATAAAAACAAATAAATAGTCATTTATTGGGTAAGAAACCACCAACGTTTCGGCATCACTTTGCCTTCTTCAGGGTTTCCATCAGAACCTGAAATATAAGCTTGTTTTACTGCAATGTTTATAAATAATGTAAATGTAAAAAAAACACTGGTCAAATGGTTAAAACTATCATTTTGATATGGATGGTCAGTCCTTGCATCCAGAGCTCTGTCTATGAATTTGAGAGTGGTTGCATTTCTCAGGGGTGGCGGGGTGACCGCTTTATTTTGCTTGAACTGCAGATTTCACCTTTAAACTTGATCATGTGAGTATATTGTAAGGGTTGATTTTACTTCAGCTATTTGTAATACTGTATGTAATACAAATGTAATGTGAGTGTAATATCTTAATGCCTTTAGGAGTTGTATCTTTTTTTTTATATGTGTTCTTATCCGACTGAAAATAATTGTGGAGTAAAGCAAATGTTATTATGATGTGTGTGAGAACTTTGTGTGTAAGAGCTTTGTCTGTGAGACCTTTGTCTGTGAGACCTTTGTCTTTGAGAGCTTTGTGTGTGAGGGCTTTGTCTGTGAAAGCTTTGTCTGTGAGACCTTTGTCTGTGAGACCTTTGTGTGTGAGATCTTGTGCTGTGTTGGCCTATCTTGCTATTTCAAGATCAGTTGAACCAAAGTACACACATAATGCCAAACACAGCATTTCTATCCTTACTATTTAATCTCCTTGTGGTCCTGTATAACTTATTTCAAAGTCAGATACATCAACTTCTTATATGCCTGCTTGGTCTGTATGACATAATTTGTTATGTAAACCTGTCCAAAGAAACAAATAAAAATACATGCCCCATTTTTTGGTAAAATGACAGACCCAAATCCAACTTTAAAATGTGGAGTCAATGAAAAAGATGGAACTCAACATGCTGATCTATTCATATCCTAACCACTAGAGAGCAGTGTTGTCCTATTGCTAATTTACCCTATGCTGAGAAACAAACCATACTTTTGTTCACCTGGATTTCTAAGGACCTTGTATTTTATGGCTTATGCGTTCCCTCAGAGGGAGGATTTGTATAGAGTTCCTGTGTACGTGTAGATGGATATGAAGGTGTTCACACCTTGTCTGACAGCAGGAGGGTCATTTACCTCATGAATGGAACACTTGATCGGTGTGCTGTGCTGCTGATTCTCCTGAGTCTGTGTTAAACAAATACCCTTCCATACACCATAATACATTTACTTTTAAACAAAGTGCATCCATAGATTTACCATTCCAGACAGCAACAGAGTGTGACTTCCCATAAGAACAGAGTGGCACAGTATTACTGTGTGATTATTCGGAGATAATTACCTTCTGGCCCTGATGTTTGGGTTGAGTAAAGCTATGGAGACACAATCCTTTTCTCTAGAATAAGGAAAACACACACCTGAATGGGATAGGTCCAAGCCGGAAAACACACCTGAATGGGATAGGTCCAAACCGGAAAACACACCTGAATGGGATAGGTCCAAGCCGGAAAACACACCTGAATGGGATAGGTCCAAACTGGAAAACACACCTGAATGGGATAGGTCCAAACTGGAAAACACACCTGAATGGGATAGGTCCAAGCTGGAAAACACACCTGAATGGGATAGGTCCAAACTGGAAAACACACCTGAATGGGATAGGCTCAAGCTGGTCAAACTGACAAACACGCAGATGCCCATGATTTATTTTTGCAGGCACTAACTCCGCCATGGTTCGTTGGACAAAGCCCATGTGTAAATTAATGGCGTTTTTTTTTTGTAGGGTTTTTGGATAAACGGCGACAATAAGGTCTGTGGCAAACACAGGCTTAGGAGATCTTGTATGTTTTTCTTCTACGAGATAATTTTCATCGGCTAACGTAACTTTTTTGTGAATTTTGAACCATTTACATCATTTAAAAAAGCACAAAGCACATAAAGGCTTCATAATTCATAAAGGTCATGTTAACAGACTGATATTATCTCATAGAACAAAAGGTATGAGATCTCCTAAGCCTGTGTTAACATCAGACCTTATTGTCTGCGTGTTATCCCAAAACCCTATTCTTACCAATGAATGTTCCCCATAGGGATGGCTGAACGAACCAGATGTAACTCAGTTACTTAGATGGTCATAGGGAGTCAAAGACAGAGATGACAGTAAAGATGAGTGACAAGGTGAATGGAAAGTATGCAGTGTGAGATACAATTAAAACGTGATATGGAGACCAAAAGGATTGTCCTGTGTGTTATACAGAACATTCCGTTCATGGTATCTCTTGGTAAAGAGATTCTTTATCTAAATGTGATTTCCTAGTTTAAATGAAAGTTAAATAGAAAAGATAACATAACTAGAAAGTTCTCTCTCTCCTTATCTCTGATGTGTGTTTGTGTGTGCATGCCTGCCAGTGTGTGTGTCAGTGTGTGTGTGTGTGTGTGTGTGTGTATGTGTGCATATGTGTGTCTGTGTGTGTGTCAGCTTGTGCAAGCGGGCCAGTATGTGTGTGTCAGTGTGTGTGTGTGTCAGTGTGTGTGTGTGTGTGTGTCAGGGTGTGCATGTGTGCATACGTGTGTGTGTGTGCTGCAGGTGCTAGGCCGATTCCTCCAGAACCAGGCCTAGCAGAGAGTAATGTCATCGGAGCGGATCCCAGCTGAATTCAGCTCTGTTCTGCATGGTTGCCCCTGATAATTGTATGATGATAGCGAGCGAGGGAGATGGAGTATAATTTCCACCTCGGGATTCCTAAACAAATACCTGTGCTCAGCAAATGGATGGAGGGAAGAGGGGAGGAGGAGAGGAGAGGAGGAGAGGGGAGGAGGAGAGGAGAGGAGAGGAGGAGAGGGGAGGAGGGGAAAGGAGGAGAGGGTAGGAGGAGAGCAGTGGAGAGGAGAGGAGAGGAGAGGAGAGGAGAGGAGAGGAGAGGAGAGGAGAGGAGAGGAGAGGAGAGGAGAGGAGAGGAGAGGAGAGGAGAGGAGAGGAGAGGAGAGGAGGAGAGGAGAGGAGAGGAGGTGAGAGGAGAGGAGAGGAGAGGAGAGGAGGTGAGAGGAGAGGAGAGGAGAGGAGAGGAGAGGAGAGGAGAGGAGAGGAGAGGAGAGGAGAGGAGAGGAGAGGAGAGGAGAGGAGAGGAGAGGAGAGGAGAGGAGAGGAGAGGAGAGGAGAGGAGAGGAGAGGAGAGGAGAGATTGGCAGATTGAGGGGAGGAGGTGAGAGGGGTGAAGGGGTAAGGTGAGGACCTGAAGGTGAGTGGATAAGGGATGAGGGGTTGAGGATGGAGGGGTAGAGGGCCTGAGGGTGAGTGGATAAGGGATGAGGGGTTGAGGATGGAGGGGTAGAGGGCCTGAGGGTGAGTGGATAAGGGATG